GACACCAAAAGCACTAACTGTAATAGGAAATTTGCTAAGTTGGTTGACATTGAAGTGAGAAACTTCCGATCACTAAAAGACATCAATAGAAAAAGAGAGAAAAGAAGCAGAGGGGAGAAGATTCAGGCAGTATCTATAAGTGGCAAGTAGATTTGTATGCAGAATATATAACGAATCCATAAAACTTATAAGAAACAAACCCCTTTCCCCCAAATGGCCAAAGAATGTCCCATGCATAAATCGTGGGCCGTGGGCAGTGTCTTCTCCCAGTTGCAGGCTCTAAGCAGCCGGCCCTGGATCATGGGCACAGCCTGGTGGCTGGCTGTGGGAACTGTCCAGGCCCACGGTCTGGTTCTCTTCCTGCCTGTGTGGACCCCGGGCCCTTCCTTCCACAGTTCCCACTCCACTTGGCTCTTTGTTCCACCCCGGGTGCCTCTTTCTCATGAATACGTAATGCGTATGTCTCTTCCTCTTTTCCTTGGGCTTGTTCAAATTTTTGATTGGCTATTTTAAGACTATTTCTCCCCGGCTTTCCCCCACCCCCTACCTCCTTTTTCGTTTCCCTTTTTGTACCTTCTTGTTTGCCTAAAAACTTGTGGTTGTAAAAGTTATCCTAAAATATCTGAAAGCCTTTGGGGGTGTCGGCTTGTTCTGTGGGCTCCAGAGACAGAGCGAAGACCTGAGGGTTAGTAGATAGTGACCTAGAGAGAAACTTCACTTACGTTCCAGCTGTGAGAACTCCGGAGGCAGCGTGGGAGGTCCTGGGTCGAGGGGAGGCCAGACCACAGCACACCTGGTCATAGTGGGGTTTGTGGAGGGCCCTGTGCCATGGATGGGCAGCTGGGTTATGATAATGCCTTCTGATTTTATCCACAGACCCTTTGAGCATATCCGGAGCAGCACCTCTCAAGTGGGAGACTCTGTCGTCCTCCCGCTGGGTCAGGCCAGGCACAAATACTTGCGCTTTAATGGTATTATATATATTTAAAAAGGATTCTGAGGCCCCCTCTACCCGCAGCCCTTGACACAGCAGGTTGACAAGCACTGAGCCAAAGGTCGAGGGTCCCCTCATTTTCCTCCAGGTCATTGTTTCCTCTAGTGAGGTAGAGTTTTCTGTTCCATTCTATTATTTGTTATTTCTTCATTTTATTTAAGTTCTTGCTCTGCCAGTGCTTGCTCTTATTTTTTTCATTGCAAATGTGTTATATTTTGGACTCATTACCACAGAGAAAGCAAACTAGAAGGTCCGTAGGTATGTTTTCTCTTTTGAAATTTTAAACAGTGTTTAACACCAAGGGTCAATAAATCTGGGTCTCACCTCCTCCAGAAAATCTGGATGATTTGGCCTCTCAGGAGTCTCCCTTCCCAGCTGACCCCCAGCAGGCAGGGCCAGGGAGGGCTGCTTCTGGGGAAAGGCCAATCCTTGTACTTGGCATATCCCTGCCCCTGCCCCCAAGGGCTTCATATTTTCTTACCACCTGCCAGCCCATCAGCATTTGAGTTTGTAACTTCCTGACTTGGCTGAAATAGGCTTTTGTGGGCCATCCTGGGAATCCAAATAATAATTTTAATATATTTCAGTGGGAAAATGAAATCTTAGCTTTTAAAGATATTTTTGAAATATCAAAAATGCAAACTTGGGGATGCTTTTAGGGTTCTCAACTAAAACCGGTATGTCTTGAGATGGTGGCCCGTGTCTTTTACTTCCATGCTGCGTGTTAGCTTAGCACCTAGTAGGAACTTTACGCGTGATTTCCTGAGTGCTCGCCTGCCCCCTCCCAGGTGGTGAACAGAAACACCGTATCACCGTGGACGTGGGCCTCTCAGTTCCTCCTGAGACCGGCTCGCTAGAACACCCACTCTAGCCCTAGCTACTGTGTGGGGTGTGGGGTCAGTCTCCTGCACAGTACCCCTGTCTTGAGAGAAACAATTTCTTTCCCGATTAAAGGTCCTGTCCCTGTAGAGCGGGTCCTGATGAGGAACTGAGAGGATGTGAAGGCCTGCACCAAGCCTGCTTTCCTGGCTGATGCCTGCCGAGCCTGAGTCCGTGGCAGTTACAGGGCGCTTGCATTCCAACCCCCAGTCAAAGGCCGGGTGAAAGTTCAGCTCATTCCCTTTAAAGAAAAAAAAAATTCTTCGTCCTCGGCATTGCAAAGTTTTGACCCAGATCCGTCAGAGGCCATGGAGAGCTCGTGGTATTCGGAGAGTGGGTCTAGTTTCCGAGGCCTGTAGCTGCAGAGAGCCAAAGAGAGCCAGTGACCTGCTGGGTTTGAAGGAAGCCCTGCCTTTTCAAGTCCGGCCTGGCCCGGCGTCTGTAGGCCCCAGAGTGTGGACTGCAGGAGCCAGCACCTTCGCCTCACTCAGAAGTTTTCTTTACCCCCACAAGCAAACACCGCGTGCAGTGCGCTGTAACACTGCTTCCTCGTCGGCCCCAGCGTGCTTGCTAAGTAAACATCCTCCCCTCTCTTTGGGACCAAATTCATTTCTGCTTCCTGGTCATCCCGTTTGGGCTTTTCTGTTCTTGGTGCCACGCAGAATCAGGTTAATTAGAAGAAAGAGCTACAGTTGGGCAGAGGCACCTAAAATGACTATTTCAATCCTAGTAAAATTGTAAGAACAGTGACAGGGTTCTGGGAAGAAGAAAGGACTTAGATCAAAAGGGAAATCAAACAAAAGCTTCCCACATATAGTGCTGTCATGATGCTTTTCAAGTCAGAGTTGGTCCCGGCTGCGCCCCTGAGATAGGGAACTTTCTTTGCATTTACTCAAGCTCAGTGGCCACAGTCGGCTCCTCTGTAACTTCTGTGGCCGTGTATAGCCCTCCCCTGACCCCGACTCTCTCTTGTTCCGTCTCTCCTGACTTATTTGCCTCTTCTCTCTCACGTCCACCCACCCGTGACATCTCCATCGCCATGGCAGTGAGCAGCCACGTCATCCACCAAGTTCACCGGGTGACGGGCCAGCTCTGCGCTGAGCCCAGTTTCCCTCTAGTTCTCCGTCCTGAAGCAGGAGGCTCCCTGGCAGAGCTCAAAGCCCTTTGTTTATTTGATCCTGGGCTCTTGGATAAATCAGGAATGTCCTGACATGAACTTAGGCATGTTTTTCTTCCATGGAAAAGGAAACTATGGCAAATGGTATTTAAGTAGGCAGAGGACCATTCCGGGGGACTTGCTTTAGTGCCATCAAGGCCACATTCCTTTGGTCATCAGACCAGTAGGTGACTTCTTTATTGGCATGTTCTACCCTGGAGCCCAGAAGGTGTGAATTTGAAGCACTTTCCCCCCTGCTGGGAGCCTGGCACAGAGACTCCGGGCTTCTTTTAAAATCGTGCAGTGCCATGGTTGTCTTCCAAGTGGTCTTCTTTCTGCCGCGTGAAAGCTCGGCCCAGAGCAGCTGCTTAAAGAAGCTCTGCTGGGGAAGCAGGTATGGGATGAGGTGGCCGCCGGGCCTTTCTTCCTCAAGCCATCTCCTGGGGATTTGCAGGGTTCTTGACGCGGTGCACTTGATGACTCGGCTGCCCCGGGACCTGAGTATCTTTCTTACTTCCGGTCAGGTCTAGGCTCATATGGCGCAACTGGTTGTCAGAAACCCTTTTGGGTCTGCTGGTGTGGGACCCAAGACTCTCTGGGTTTGTCTTGGTATACACGGTCCAGTGATAGCATCGGAGCTGTTCTTGGAACATTTCCGGGTCTAGGGGCAGAAAAATGTTGGGAGGTGTGTGCTTTGCTGTATTGGAGACCTGTCAGCATCCACAAAACAGTCTTAGGCAGTTTCCAGAGAAGTGGCAGGACACCCCCCCCCACAACCCTGTGAGAGAGCTTCCAGGTGTGTGAATGCCCACGCGTCGCCACCGCAGGGGCCAAGGCAGTGGGCTGGTGGATCCTCATCTCACTCAGCTGCCCACCCCAGAGAGAAGAACCAAGTTGTTGGCCACTTGAGGTTCAGGCTTGGATGCTGCTCTGTTTTCTTGCTTTTCATGTTGTCAGGGGATCTTCTTGGGAACAAATGACTCAGCAACCTGGATCTCTGGGACTAAGTGTGGCATAAGTGCCTTTTGAGAAGTGATTGGACACAGGCACCGAGGCCTTAAAATTCTGAGCTCAGGAAGAACAGAGATCCAAATGGTTTTACTGTCGATTCCTCGGGCTGCAGTTCACTTCGGTTTCTCCTGCCCCTGCCCCAATAGAGGGGTCCCACTCATCGGATAATCAGGCAGTGTTTTAATTACACTTTTTGTCTTTAGGAAATCCCAGGGAGAAAAAGGTCCTGGTTGGTGGCCAAAAAGCAGAAAACAACAAAAAATCAGCTACGGCTGTAAATCTGGACTTCTCTGTGGCAGAAAGAGTTAACAGAATGGTGGTCTCAGGGTGAGGACCATTTTTGTCCTTATGGCTGAGAGAAGCTCACATGGGTCAAGACAAGATGACCCAGCACTGAGTGTGGGCCAGCCCTGTCTGCCTTGTGGGCACTGTCACTCAAAGAGTTAAGCTAGTCTTGTGGCTGGGAGGCTTCAGGGAAGGTGTGAGCCTTCAGGGAACAGGCCCTCTGTGCCCCAGGACAGTGAGGTGCAAGGTAAAAATTGGAGAAAAGTGTGACCAGGGAGTGGAGTGCAGGCCTAACTTTTTTTTTGCCTTGTTTGACCAGCCTTGGCACTGCCCTCAGGCTCTCCAGGGGAAAAGCTGCAGTTCTGCTCTTGCAACACAAGGAGCAGACTGGAGAATTTAGATCTGCGTCACAGAGCTCAGAGAGAGGGAGAGGGAGAGGGAGAGAGAGCGCTCTGTCGATAGGTCTGCTAGCAACAGCCGTGCTGCAGCAGAGAGAGAAATCAAGAAACAAGTCATAGCAACACCGGGCACCAGGTTCTGCCAGCTCACTTGCCAAGCGCTCAGAAATCTGTCGGGGGCTGGAGGCCTCTGGGTAGCCTAGGCTCAGGAGATGACACGCAAGGTGGCACGGGCGGTTCCCGTGGGGAGGAGGTGGGGTGGCGGTGGGGGCAGGGATGGGAGCAAGAGGTTGTGGGGCCATGGTGGAAGGCTTAACGGGACCAATTTCTGGAACATTCGGGACTGCGACACCTGACAGCCGGACCGAGATTTGGGTCTCCGCAGGCGAGGATGGGTGGTCCGATGGGCTTCAGGACTTGATGGCGTAACCCCCTTCTTCCCCCACGTATGTATTTGCCGGGATCGGGGGCGATATCTCTGCGTATGTGGGCGCTCTGTCTTTCTCACCTTCTTTCTCACTTTTTGCTATTTTTTTTTCTTTGAGGGAGGGCTTTTTTCCACTTTAATTTCTTTTCCCTTAGTGTCAGCTGCTCAAACCTGACCGGGGAAGAGGAGAGAGGAGCAAGCTGTCCCTAGCGTCCCATCTGACCTCCCAGGCTTTACCCTCATTTCTTTCCATCGGACAGACATGCAGACTGGTTTCCAGGTTAAGCGTCAGCATCTGTCTGTCTGGCCATGCAGCCCTCAGGTGAAAGGTAGAGAGTGAGGAGGAGAGGTGCTGAGAGGAAGGCCGGAGCACACTTTCCCAGGGCTGCCTTACTAGAAGGATCGGTCCTGGGAATCTGGGGCTGGTGGGGAGCAGGTGGTCAGGGTAGGGTGTGGGCTGGGAGAAGTGGGGTAAAGCTAGTAGGTTTGTCACTGCGTAGTTGGGGAAAGTGGGGAATGGTGACGCAGTCACTGTTGCATCTTGTTAGGAGCTCTAGGAGGACAGGTAGTGAGGCACCCGGGGTCTGTTGGGCCAGCTGAGAGGGCTTACTGATGAGCTGAGAAGGGAAGCTAGCATTTAGAGATTAAATGTCATCCTTTTGGCGTTGGAAAGTTGTTTACCTTGCGCTCTCTGTGTCTCCATGTTGGCACCCTTCCAGTTCACATGTGATGGCCTTCCTTGTACTGCTGCATCATTAACTAAGTGACTGAGCTGGCCTTCCATTGGCCAGGGGAGGGTTCTCACTCCAGACATGTCTCCGATTGGTGGGTTGGCCCATGGCAGGTGAAAACCTTTTTTTGATTGGCTCAAGGCAAGGTATCAAATCTGAATTTGCATTTCACTTGCTTAAAGGGGAGGGGGGAGAAGCCCAGCAGCTTTCTAAAAATCTGTTTAGGGGTGTGCGTATGTTCCTGTGTGCCTGCTTTTGACTGACCAGTGGAGGCCCCTTCCTGTGCCTTTTTTACTTCACGCACTCTGAGGAAGAGGAGCTTAGAGAACCCCAAACTTTTTGGAGGGGAAAGGGTTGGGGAGATGGGTGCGCAGAGGGTTGGCCAAACGGAGAAAATATTTGTCCTTTAGTTTGGGATCAGAAAAGGGAATTTTCCAATCAGCCACACCTCAGTGTTGCGGCAAAATAATTCTTGGCTCCCCTGGAAACGCACTAGCAAGGTAAGGCAGAGCTGCTGCTGCTGCTATTGCCACCACCCTGGGCTTCCTGCTGACTCTGGGCTACTCCCAGGGGACAAGAGATTTGCATTGACGTCTGGGGCTGTCCAGAGCTGAGCCCAGTATGGGAAGGACCTGCCTTCTGGAAGCTGCTGCTCCCTGGTGCTTGGAAAGGTGAGGATGGGGACCGACCCTGGGACGTTGCTCAGAACCTGCATATTTGGTGGGATTTCAGGGAGAGCCACTGGGCCATGAGAGGTTTGGAGGTCCCATGTTAGAAAGGCTTGTCATTCTGGGGAGTGACGAGAGTGAGAGCAAAACTAGGACAGCAGGCTGTGTGCCTCTGGTTGGGGGTAGGGGACGTGGAAAAATCAGGGTCTCGGCTTGCCAGCCCACTCTTGGTGCAGGTCTCTTGTCTGTGGGGAGGGGGTTTCTGAGCTCTGCCCTGTGCGCAGCGGCCCCCGCCCATGACTGCGCATCTGGGAGCGCAGTGCGCTCTGGGTCTCCGGCCCAGGGCAGCACTGCCCTTCTTATTACATAACAGAGGGCACGGCCGTACTTGCTCGGCCCTTCCTTGCAACCCTACCTCCTGGCTCCCTGGGGCCCACAGAGCTGGGGAGGGTCTTATGGCGTAGCAGTGAAAGATTTCAGTCTCCTGGAGGGTAGCTCTTGCCCAGTTGGTGGTAGGAGATTGGTTTGAAGACAGAAAGGGACTGGGGTATAGGAAGTAGAATGTCCTTCCGAATGCCTGGTCCTCTCGGCCCCCAGGACCTCTCGGGGGATGGGGTGATGCCCTTCTTTCTCTTCTGCGCTTTCTGGCTTTTGAGAAGAAGTTTCTGAAGGGAAATATATGACATCTGGGAGAGTGAGGAAGGGTGTATGGGGGGCCCAGGTGGGCGGAGGTTGACAGTCGACTGCCCTTGTCACTGGCTCTCCTTTCCCTAGTTGGGCTGATAACATTTTCGGGCTCCTTTTATCCCAAGGCTGCCATTTTGGAGGTATTTCTGCTGGTCTCTGACAGGGTAGCACTGGTTTTTCTGGTCCTGCTGTGCGGTTCCGCAGAGTGGGCGGGGGGCGGGGGCTGTGACGGAGGAGTGGGGGGGGGCAAATGCGCAGCAGAGGCGGGCGCAGTAGTGTCTGCCGCAGTGAGGGTGGCCCCAGGGGTAGGACCGCCCAGTCCCACCCTCAGACACGGCCCTGGGTGGGAGTTTCACTATGTGGGGCCCGGCTGTGCCACAGCTCGGGCACTGCTCACTGAAGGCCCGGGCCTCCCATGCCCTCAGCCTGAGGCTGACGGCAGTTTGGTGAAAAGCTGAATCTGGGGGGAGTGGAGGCAGAGACGTGGCAGCTCATCCCGGACCTGCCGGATCCGGATCCCTGCTTGGTGTTCCCCAAATAGGTCTGCCTCCAGCAGTCTCCCCACAGGGACGGGGGTGGGGCCCGTGGCAGCCTCGAGGATCCGTCTGAGGGCCCTGCCTTGTTACCGTGTTTCTTCTCTGTTTGTCCTCACGGCCCTGCCAGGGACGAGGTTCCAGCTGTAGTCCAGCAGTGAGGCTCCCTGCGCCCGTCCCCTTCCTCTCCAGGCCTCGTGCGTGCAGCGGCCATCTTGTCTTTCCTGCCCAGAGATTTAAAATGGTTTCTCATCATTTCCAGAATCAAATCCCTTCCTTTAGCATGCTGCCGAAGGCTGTCTGTAACTAGCCTTAGTTCCTGTACAGTCTTGCCTCTCTGAGTTTCCCTAGCTGGACTGTGTATTCTAGCAAAGCCAGGTGACCGACTTGTTCTTGCTTTTTCCACCCCTCTGCTCTCACCGGTGTTTTCCACGGCACCCACCTGCGGCACTGCCACCGTCCCCCCAGGCCTCTCCTGCTTACCTTTATCAGGAGGGGTCCTCGTCACCTCCCTACCCCCTTTGGCCAAGCTCCCGTACGTTCCATCCCTCCTTTGTGCTACTTGAGTTGCCTCACTGTTTTTCGTGTATAAATCTCACGTCGCCTATTAGATTGTGAGCTCCAAGAGGCTAGGGAAAGAAGGGAAATGCATAGCTAGTGGGTACCTTCTGCCTGCCAGTCACCACATCGAGCTCTTTTACGGCTGTTGTTTCACATACTCCTTACTGGAACCTGTGGGGAGAGTTCTGTGGCTGGTAAGTGTTTTGATCGTGGTCAGAACCCTGGTATGTCAGTCTTGCCGTGTTTTCTCTCTCAATCCTCAGTGCCTACAAACCGCCTCTTAATGAGGTGGATCCCCAAAACGTGTCTATTTAAGGAATTTTGTAAGTTCCTAACGGCACTGTGGGAATTTGGGTAGCTGATCTTCTTGCACCCAAGGTCTGGTCACTTAGTGATCCCGTGGCACCCTCACTGCTACCTCATTAACTTTCCCTCTTCCTTTGTGGCCAGGTTCACTCATGGTGCTGTCTCCTTTGCAGCTGAATTTGATGGGCTGTCAGACTTCAGTTATCCTGGTTGCTTTCCTTCTGGAAGACGATGTAGAGGTGGGATGGGTTGTAGTCTGCTCAGAGCGGAAACAAGCTCCAGAACCCAGAAGAGAGTGGAGACTGTAGAAGGCGAGGAGCAGGGGCGTTGCACTAGGGCAGGTGTAGGTTTGCTTCCTGACCCTGCCCCGGCTTCCCTGGGTGGTTTTAGACAAATTATTTGGTCTCTCTAGTCTTAGTGTCCCCAGTCAGCGAAATGGAGCCAGTGTAACCTACTACACAGAAATGTGTATTACCAAACAAATAGGTTCCCAACAGAAACTACGGTTCCCTTTCCCTGCCCAGTTGTTTTTCAGGGAGTTAAGGAAGGAACATAGCAGTTGGCTTGACTCAAGAAGACATTGGGGGAAAGGGAACTTGCGTGCCTTGGTCGTATCAGAAGCAGGGGCAGGGGAGGAAGTCACCAGGCAGCACCCACCTGAGGCCTGACAGGTAGTGTCTTTCCCTTGCCTAGAGTAAATGCCCTTTACCTTCTGCACCAGAAAGACACCAGGGGAACAGCTGCAGCTCTGAGCACTGGTAGTGGCAGAGTGAGGGTTAACCGGGGCACCTTCCTGGGAGCCTTTTGATACCAGGTTAGTTTCCCTTCTTTCCCGGCAGCAGTGGCTGCTTGCCGACACTGTGCATCCTGCGGGAGGGGAGTTGGGTACCCTGAAGCCCCCTGTCATCAATTCTGGGGCTGCAGTGGGCAGAGTGACGACAGCCCATGAGTAGTCAGCCGACGGCAGTGGGGACCCTGGTGACGGCTGCTTTGTTGTTTTTTTCCTCTCTGGATGATGACTCAGTGTGTTGGGAGCAGGGAGATGGAGCGCTCAGCTGAGTGGCCAGGACATTCTGTCAACATGAAAGCAAAAACAGCTTGTCGGGGCTCAGAGCTGACCCTTAGGCGAGGGTCATTTTCAGGAAGGGCTTAGCAGCAAGAAGCCAACTGTTAGACATCAGGGTGGCGGGTGGCGACGCCACGTAACTCACCAGGGTGCTGTGGACCCTTGAATTGTAGAATCTGAAAGGAAGATGCAGATGTTTGTATTTTTAGATGAGCTTGATGGTGTCGATCCTTGAACTCCCCTCCCTACTCCCAAAAGAGCGAGGTCTTACCAGGACCCTTGGGCATTCCTCCCTGTGGCTCATGGCCTTGGCCAGAAGGCATGTTTCTTCTTGGGGTGGGGAAGGCCTCGCAGGAGCCCCAGGACCCCATGAGCAGGCACCCATCGTGGGGCTGTGGCGTCTTAGGTCTCCTTTGCTGGCACTGTGTGAAGATGGTGAATATACATATCCAGCCTTAAGCTGAAGCCCAGCTCCTGGGCAGCTTGCTTCTCTCTCCCCTTCCCTGTTGTCCAAATTAAAGTTTATCCTCCCCGTCATCTTCCTCACCCCCTTCCTAGGAGAAATTGTGAACCTTGAGTTCCTGACCTGTGTGTTGCGGCATCATGGCGGCTTAAGGTTCTAGGCTTTTCTTGAATCTGTAGCACTGCGCTGCATTGCGCAGGACGTCTCCCCAGGCCCCGCCCTCCCGCCGGGCCCCGCCCCACCGTGCCTCCTTGGGAGCAAGAGAGAACTTGGACCTCGACTGCCATGAACTGTGGCCAAGCCATTGTCCCCAGCACCTGGCTTCCCTCTCTCTCCTGTTCCCCCAGTGTCCTGGGGCAGAGGAGGAGTGGGCAGGGATTGAGGGAGAGCCTGGCCTGGGAGCTCCCTGCCTGCTTTTCCATCTGCCATTTTTCAGTCTCATGCTTTCCCATGGATGATGCTAGCACTGACATTTGTCACTGAGCACCTCTTTCCCCAGAGACCTCCAGGTGGGACTCACTGGGGACTTCTGGGAGGAGTGGCTTTGGGCCCTTGGGAATCTGCGGGAGCAGGAAGATGTGACCGAGGTCACAGTAGACAGTTGGTCGGTGTGCGGGATGGAAGCCAGCTCTCCCCACACAGAGCACACAGGGAGCACTAGTCGCTTTGCGTCATATCTTTTTGAGCCTGAGTACAGAGCGACTTGACCTAAAAACATTATATATATGTGGGTGTTGAATCCTTTGAGTCTCACATTTCTTTGTCCAGAAGCTGTGTGTGTGATGAGAGCCCACATTCTATACTTCAGAGAGCTGTGATGTCCCTCGAGTTTGTTTTCTGAAAGAGCCGATAGTCGAGTCCTCCTTGATGAGAGACCCTGTATCTCTGATGGTGGCCCTTCTCCAGGACGATGGACCAAGCATTGTCCGTCTTCTGCCACTGGATGGCGAGCAGCAGCTGAGGGCCATGGTTTCAGGGCCACATCATAACCCCGGGTGGGCCCCTGACTGGAGCCTGCGCAATGAATCGCTTGAGGTTGGCTCTGTGAACTGAGCCCACCTCGCTTCCTTTTGCCTCTTCCCCACAGGGAACTCAGAAGAGCTTAGCCCCACGCCTGAGTGACAACCTCTTGGAGACTCAGCTCAGCTGAGGTGGTGTGGTGTGCAGAAGGCAGCCGTCAGACTGGGGGGTAACATGTGCCCATTCGCATTTATTTGGACAAAAAAAAATGCGTGGCAGCCTGGCTGTGTGCAGTAAGTATTTGCCTGCATTCTTTGACTCCTTCAAACATCGGAACTGGATAGATGGTTATTGAACCCAGCCAGCTGCTGTGCCTTCTCCATTCTGTTCCTGCACACCCCCACCCTTGGTCCTCCAGAAGAGACGACTAGATCGATTTTCTCTTGCTGCCAGAGAGCTGCAGAGACACTAGAACTCAGTGTTCAGCCCCCGCACGTCCCCCTCACATTTAGAAGAAGTCAATTTTCTCTAAAGTGGAACCAGAAACCTGTGTCCCTCAGTGCCTAATGTTAATGGTCCAAATGGAAGGACCCTGTTTGTCCTCATTGCCCCCAGCAGGGAGGCGAGGCTTTCAGTTGGCTGGCTGGGGGAGGCTGGTGCTTGCCAGCATCTAGCATGGTTCTCTGCCAAGTTCTAGCTCCAAATCTCTAGACTGGTTGGAACCTAGACTATATATAGCATTGTGCTAAGCAGTTCTTAACAGACATGTCTGTCCTCCCCTGTGGAGAGGAGTACTTCTATCAGACAATCGGAACCTAGAGAGTGAGACCATCTCTTAGGGGCTTTTCATTATGGGAGTGGTGGGTGGGCGAGTGTGTGTGTGTGTGTGTGTGTGTGTGTGTGTGTGTGTGAGTGTGCGCATGTGCGCCTGTGTGTGATTCAGGGCTGCCGAGCTTTCTCCCCCTTATTTCAGATGCTGATGGATTCAGAGGTCATATGGATGAGGGTACTGATGTGGGAAGAGCTGATACTTCTCAGTGGGTTTGGAGTTTGGATGAGGAGAGACTGGGTGCACGATGTGGCTGAAGGCGCAGTGTGACCCATGGCGGAGCCCAGCCTCCGGTATGTTTTCTGGGTTTCCGTTTGCTTGGCTTTGCCCAAGAATGTTTCCTGACCTCTGTCTTCCTTCTTTTGGACCTCTTGTCTTTCCTGCCTCCCCCCACCCTTTCCTCCTCCTGCCTTTGATTTTCTCTAGGATGTATGAGGGCAAACTCAGCTCCCACATCCGGGAGCTGTGTCTGCTCCCTGCCCTCACCCCGATTTGGGGTCTCTGGAAATCTTCCTGGAGTAGGCAGAGGTGTCAGCTGTCCTCAGGAGAGTTGGGTGGTGCCTGAGCGTGTCGTGCTAGGTGGTATAGACATGGTGGGCTGCCTGTCTGCCTTCTCCCTCTCATAGGTGCTACAAAGCCACCAACTATTCTGTGCCATCCTGTGACCGAAAGTGCTGATTGACGTGATAGGATCCTGGTCTTGTCGGTGACTCATCACCAGGATGCTTAATGGAAACCAGATGCAGCGTGGAAAATAGGATTTAACTGCTCTCCTGCCCCCCAGGTAAGTCAGGTGTGGGCTGCCCCCTTCTCATCTTCCCCAAACCCCTTGTTTTCCCATGAAGAACGTTTCCTTTATTCAGTGAGGAATCCTTAAACTCTTCATTCAGAATCTCCCAAACAGTTGCTCTCTTCTTTCCATTCTCTTCCTCCTGGCTTTTCTGTGAATGGGCTTCGTAACCAGCAGATACTCGGGGAAGAGTGGCCAGTCCCAGGGACCAGGCTGCCGGCATATGTGGAAGATAGCTGGGGAGGCTGCTGGGTGTAGCGGCTGGCAGACCAGTTGGGCATCCCACAGTGACTGACCTGAAACTCTCCTCGGCCCCCAATACCTGGCCCGAGGTTCCGGGTTTAACCCATGAAAGTCCCGGGATCCTGCCTGGGGCTGGGGTATCCTTCCCTGTGCTATCAGGGGATGTCCTTTCTTACTTGACACGCCTTTGGCCTTGCCGGCCTTAGTCTGGGGCACAGGTGGCAACACCAGGCCGGGGGACCAAATCCGGCCCCCCACCTAGTTTTATCTGGCCCAGCACCTTGTTTCTACCAGGCAGCAGCACTGAGCTCTCACTTAACAGTTAAGTAGTTACATTTATATAGTCCTAAAAAATTATCTTCGGCCCTTTGAAGGCAACTGCAGAGCTAATGTGACCCCTGGTGAAAATGAGCTTGACACCCTTGGTCTAGGGCGCTGGTCTGGAGTTTAGCCTGTGGTCTGGGCCACAGACTTTGGAGCTCTTCCCTATGTCTTTTTGTGGGGGTGGGGGGCACTTTGTTCCTCCAGGCTGTTACTGCCTTCGCCTTTAACAAAAATTCCTAGCCCAGTACGCCATTGCAGAGCATCTGTAGACAGTCGATGTAGAAATGTTTTTTCTCTGCCTCACTTGATAATAATAGCAAGGGTGATTAAAAATGATGACGGCCTACAGCACTGGGGAGGTCTGTCTCACATGGTAGAGACAATTCGGAAAGCAGACTCTAGGCACTTGCCGTGTAGCCAGAAAATCTCTCCCCTACCAAGTAGATCCCTGCAATGTTCTGGACCAAAAGGGCCGGTTGGAATTAGCCAAGAGCAGATTTACCTGGGGTCTAAAGATAAAAGGGAAAGGGTGCTACGTAATTTTATGACGCTTTTGGGGAAATCAGGAGGCAACTGTGGGATCCTGCTGCCTGCTCATATGTCTCAGGGAAGACTGGCCAGTTCTGCCGTGCAATGTCTCACTTTCCATCCCCTCCGAAACAAGTCTATGAGTTGGCCCGGAGTGGCCTGAGGTCCTCACACTGAGAAACCCAGGGCTGTTTGGAAGAGTCCGGTGTCTTTTCCTGCAAGGAACTTGACAAGTCTCAGCCCCTCCAGCACTGATGTAGCAAGGGGTGGGTGGCTAGGGGTGTTGGGTCTGGAGCATGAATAAAGAGGAGGGATCAACTTTGGTGCAGCTGGGGCGATGAAGAGGAGCGGGCCAAGTCCCTCAAGATGTGTCGGCCCGAGTCTGGCCAGCGCTGGCTGGACAGCTGGAGCCAGACGGAGCTGCTGGCCATGCTCGGAGCCTCCGCTCTCATGCATGGTACGTCCCTGGGCCTGGCTGTGGGTGACCACCCCTCCCATTCATAGCCCTGCCTTCATCCAGATTGGGGTGACTGGGGTGGCAAGCAAAGGGGTGTTTGGTTTTGCTCCTTGTGACGCAGTTGTCCCTGTCACCTTCAGTGTTTCTGGAATTGGGGTTGGTGCTTCCCTGTTGATTTTCCCGTTTGTGTCCCTCACCTAGTTCTTTTCTCCCTGCTTACCAGCCTGGCTTCTACCGACATGACACGGGGCATTATGTGTCGCAAGTCAGGCTGGCAGAACAGTTGACACCTCCTGCTCGGGGCGGGGGGGGGGGGCGGCAGGCATATCTGGCACTTCTTTCTTGACCTTTGGATCCTTGTGGTCTGGAAGCCAGGAGGCAGGGTGGGGCCTTTCCATCTGAGTCCAGCAAAGGTTAACAGCTCGTGGCACTAGAACTGTGGTGGTGTGGCTTGGCCAGCGGGCATTGGGGGCGGGGCTCTGTCAGGGGACCTGATTGGCCAGCACCTTTTCAGTTCCATTGAATTCTGGTCTGGTCAGGGCTGTGAATTGTTTAATGCATGTCTTGGCTCTGTCCCCTGGCACCAGTGCCCCCAAGGCTGCAGCCACAGCTTTCGAGAGGATCCGTACCTTGTGCTGGTCACTTTTTTTGGGCACGTTGCCTCCCTGTGAGATATGTAAGAGATACTGTCCTTTTCCACTAGCTGGCTTTTTGTGGGAGGTCCTCATTGTGCTTTGCTTTTCTAGGACTTGGGAGTGTGTGTGAGGAAGGCAGAGACTGGGTTTGGTTTATTGCCTGCTCCTTCAACAGGAGCTGACTGGGGGCTGATAAAGGCAGGGAACACCTCCAGACCTCAGAGCCTGCGCAGAACCTGATGCGGTCATGTGGAGCCGGGGCAGGGGAGGAGTGGGGGTTGAGGATGGAGAGAGCCCCGTGGAGCTGTGCATTGTCTGACCACAGGACCGAGGCCAGGAGGTCGTGGGGGGCTGTACCCAGTGTTCAACCAGGGCTGCCTCCTGTGGCCTGGAATGGGCACGTGTGCGTGGAGCGCAGACTGGGGTCTGTCATGGAGCAGGCAGGCACAAGATGCGCACCCGAGTTCTTGGTCTCAGCATGCAGCCAGAGAAAGGGAAACCGGCTGCTGTGAAGGGCCCCTCTTTGCTTATGTGATTTCGTGTCAGAACAGCCATATGAATTACGCGTTACTTCCCTTTGATAGTTAAAGAAACTGTGATTATTAAGTGACTTAACTAAGGTCACGCTTGGAGAGTGGGGTTGTTGAGACTCAAACACGGGCAATTGCAAAGGCAGTCCTTTTTTTCCCGCCCTCCTGGACTGAAGTCAGATGTTTTGGGGAGCTAAGACCCTCAGGGGCAGGCAGCCAGGAGAACTTTAAGGAACCAGAGTGAAAGGCCAGATGCCCAAGGGGAATTTGCAGTCACCGGGATCGGCTCTGCCACATCCCTTTTTGGGGAGGCAAGGCAGAGGGAGACTCCCTGGGGTATCCACGGACAGGCAGGGCCGAGCAGGCAAATACATTCCTTCTACAAATCTGGATTCGGCCTCCGCTATGTGCCAGGGACCAGACTCGGTTCTGGGGATGCAGAACTCAGCCACGTTCTCGCGTGGGAGAGGTCCTAAATAATAAAAGACAGAGTTAAAAGATTTATAAAGTAGACATAAGAAGGGGGATCCAGAGTAAGGGAGGGAATTTAAGAGCCTGAAGCACCTCAGCCATGTGGGGAAGACATTGATAGGGGTGCTGGCCCCTCTCCTTTTATAACACCTAGAAGAATTATTCCAAGTCCTGTAGCTTAAAGAAACTTGCAGTGTGTCGGGGAGGACAGTGGCAGTAGACATTAGGCCTTTGATCTCCAGCAAAGTAGGGTCTTTCCCATTAGCCATGGCTGCTCTTGGCCTTTCATCTTCCACCCTCATCAGGCGCCAGCTGGTGTCTCTACCTGAGCCTGGTCACCTTGCCCCCTTGTCCACACAGCACAGGGGAGCACTCAGGTTAAGGCTTTGCCGAGTCACTGGTAAAATATGTGCCCGGCCTCTCCTGCCAGAACACGTGATTCCAGATTGTCGTGATAGGGAGGGGACAGGTGAAGGGTAAGGGACAGGAAGTGACCTTGTGTTAGATGCTTGGATGAGCTTTGTGTCTTGAGAGGCTGAGGCAAGTTGGCAGCGGGAGATGTGGGAGGGATGTTCCCAGTGCGTGCGGCTCCAGGGCTCAGGACCTGTTTACGTGGAAGTGGAAGTGGAGCAGCGGCTGGCCCACGTGAGCCAGGCCACGTGAGTGCTTCTCTCCTTGCCCCTGGTCACAGCCCCCCCCCCCCCAACACCGAGACTGCCATCTGCTGCTAGGGGCCTGGTGTTGCACAGGCTGCAGTGTGCCGGGTGCAGTGTGCCGGGTGCAGGGAAACTGGGCTTATGTTACTTGGTATAGAAGAGTCAGCAGACCTTGGCGCTCTCAGTGAAAACTCACTTTACCTCTTTGGGACCCACTTTTATAATCTGGAAAATGAGGGAGTTGAAAAAGAACCTCTTGGAACATTACTGCCATTTCTACACGGGGGTCCCTGGATGTTTGTGGAGGTATTTCTTAGCTAGAAACTCGGGACAGGGAAAACTAGACCTGAGTTAAAGAAGGGAGGGATCTGGAAAACCTGTGGGCAGCTGCAGCCCTGTTTTATGAAGAGCCACTTGTCATCAGTTAGGACAGGTAGGTGGAGACACTTTTCAAAGGACCCCCCCACCCCCAAGAAATAAGTGGGAGGGGCTGGAGATTGCGTGAAGGGGTGGATGAGGATCCTCCGGGTGATGGGACATGGACTCCGGCTCCCACCAAGAGGCCCGTCTAGAGATGAGCCCAGCCTGAGGGAGTCGCTGGGGGTTGGCTGTGCAGGGGCTGGCTCGAGGCGTGTGCTCTAGGGAAGAGGAACGTGCTCTGCAGCTCTAAAGCCCTGGAGAGAGGCTGGGCCTGCAGGGTCCGCATGACCTATACCTTCCCTGCGACATCTGCTCGGGGTCTGCGCCTCTTACTGTCAGGAAGTTCTCCTTTATGCTTAGACTCTCTTCTCGTGTGGTTGTTTAAGCCCTTCTGTTGAGAGAGCGAGAGAGGGAGAGGGAGAGGAAAAAAACAAAAATATATCAGAGCCACGGGTTCCATTTAGGCTTTTTAGTCTTGAGTCACTAGTTAAAAGGTAGCAAAAATAAAACATGCAGGAAAGGCCAGGGTCCCAGGTCCTCCCAGACTGTTGTGCACGACCAGCTCGAGGCCAGGAGGACTGGGGTCCTGGGCTGCCCTTCCAGGGCACCTGCCGTCCCCAGTGTCTGCTACTTCTCCCAGGCTGCCTGAGAAGGAGACCCTGGGCCTGAGGACGCACACTGTGCAACCCACTGACCAGAGTGCAGAGCTTTAAAAATAGCTACATTTCTCCGAGACTCTCCGCTGACTAGACACTTCCTGGGGCTTCATCACTGAGAGCCCAGCCCCTCCACCCCACAGTGAGGTCACGAACAGGGGTTTGGGCTGGGCGCATTGTCTCCTGTGTACACTGTGATGTTTCACAGTTCTTCCACATTTTCCTGCTCTCTTGGCTCGCACACAGCCCTGCCAGGGTAGGTGGTGTTATTCCTGCAGTGGGTGAACCTGAGCCAGAGGAAGTCCTGCAGAAATCTCACTGCTAGTACCTGCTTCATTTGGGTCACCCACCCAGGTCCCCTGACTCCGGGGGTCATTTCCCTGGGCTCTGGTGGGTGTTCCTCGCTGATCAGTGGGGCAGGGGCAGGGGTGGGGAGCAGGTCTCTGGCAGTTGACTTGATCTCTGTAGTTCGTAGGTCAGGCCCCTTCTCCGAATATCCGGATTCTCCTGTTCCCGGACTCTCTCAATGCCTCGGAGCTCTTGTGAAAAGGGGCTGGCACTTCTTGGCCAGGAAGCCATTCCCCATGCGTTCCTGGTGAGGTTTCTAACATGCTTCACACCGCACTAACATCTGTGCGGCACTCGTGTGCATAGAGTCTGGCTCCTGCTAAGTAGCTCTGTTAGAAATGAGGCCTTATCAGGGGATCGTTGAGGTTTTTTTCTGACGAATGTATGAGATATGCTCAGAGTTTTGCCCAGGACGTGCGTGTGCTGTGTACATTACCTCTTTGCTGGTGAATGTACAACACCTGCTGGAAGAATTGGCTAATGTGCAGCGTGAGGTTAAGATGCTGGAAGCAGGCTTCAGCCCTGAATGTTTGCTTCATGATTGACTTGAAGCGACAGACTTCACCCATGGAGAGGAAGGTCGGGTCAGAGAACCCCTGGGCATCCGTTCCCCGAATTGTGAGCATGACCCCACACTCTTTATAGGGGTGCTGAGGCAGAGCAGGGAACAGCGTGTTTTCTTGGCCATGTAGTCCTCTGAGTGATCTTCAGTCGAATAGACCCAGAACTTGCGTGAAGGGGAAGAGAAGTGTTTTACTTTTATTTATGTCACCTTTAGCCAGGCTTTCTCTTCAGGCGTTCCTTGAGGAAGGCTCAGGGTTGGCCTGGGGACAACACGCATGCCTTTGTGAAGGTCCGTCCATCCGTAGCCCCTGGATCCAGCCTCGGCTGGCACAGAGGCCCTGCGATGGGGAACCCAGGGGGGCTGTTTTGGTGGAGGAAGGCTTCGGTAAGGCCACCTGCGAAGCTCTGTCGTCTTGGATCCAGTTCTGTCTGCTCACCTGGAGGATGGGAAGGATAACTGCACCTGCAGCAGGGAGGGCGCCTCAGTCTGGGCTTCAGGGAGAACGTCATCCGGTTTGCCGAGGGCTCCTGAGGAATGACGAGTGCTCTTTCTCTGAGGGAGGGGGCTGCAGAGCCTTCCAGTCCCAGGTCTCTGGGACTCTGAGACCACCTGGGAGAGCGTGAGGCTTGGGTGCCAGGGTCTAGGGTGTGCTGCACTCTGTGTCTTCCCTTCCTGCCTTTGAGACAAACCTAAGCTGGGGGAGGGGGGCACACAAGCAGGGGCCCTGGAGCCCTCACCTTATGTCCCTTGCAGAGACAACTCCTGGAACTGACCCTACAGGGCTCATTTTATTTGCAAATGAAAACAGGACAGAGGCATGTTGCCCCTTATTCCTACCAGGAAATCCCTGAGCTGCTCTAAGCCTGTCTTCGCACCACTACTCTGACTTCCCCCAACCCCAGGGACCTCTGCGAGGCGTTGGAGATGTGGAGGGTGGGGCAGAAGGCAGGGCCAGACATGGTTTGCTGGGAAGAAGGTAAGAGGTAGAAGAGGAATATCTCAGGCAGGTCCATGGCTCGGCGAACACTGGCGTTAACCTGCTGTGCTGAAGGCACAGGTGTGGGTTCAAATGGGCATAGCATTCGGAGGAAACCCAAAGTCTTAAATAACCCAGTTAATGATTAAATGAGGGTTGTATTAAATATGGAGAACCATATATCCTTTTTTGTTATCACTCCTGCAGCTTTGACTTTGAATGGCCTGACAGGTCGGGGACATTTCAGGGGTCCCTCCTGTCTGTGTAAGATCATGCTGCTTTTATGTTGACTTTTGGTCTCCTTTCTTTTCTGGTTTTGCTCTCATTCCTTCCTTGAGTATATATGAATATTTGTCCATTCATTTGTGGTGTTATTCCGGGGCAGGAGTTGATGTATTGCTTTTATTTTGAATGTAAACAAACTGCAAGGTCACTGCAGAAATGAGCCACCTTTGAGACGGGGCAGGTGTCCTGCCCAGGCATCCAGACCCCCCCCCCCCAGATGATGGTCCAGAGTGTCTTTGCCAGCACTGACTCTGCCCACATCAGGCAGCCTTTGTGGGGGGGGGGGGGCTGCTCATGCAGGAATCCCCAGGACAATGTAGCTGTTTTTTTTGCAGCTTGAACCCTGAGGATCAGCCTTGAAAACCTGAGACCGTGTGTCACCCTGCTAGCTTAGGAGGGGACCTGGCCAGGGAGGAAGGGAACACAGGCTTCTGGCAACTGGCCTTTCAAGACAGGTGAACTCTGTTCAAAAAGGAGTTTATTTAATCTTTTGGCCCTAATGGAAGTTATTTGTATTTTCTCTCCCTCTCTCTTTTCTCCGTCAACTCAACCACCCCACCCCCCACCCCCGGCCCTGCGACCGGCCTCCAAAAGAATTTAATCTGCTGGACAACAAACAATACTGTTATAAAACTTGGAAAACAAGAGGGCGAGGCCTCCCTGACAAGAAGAAGGGCATGCTGGGTAAAAGCGAGGGAGCCTGCCAGGCTGGGATGGTGCCGGGCGAGAGCCCAGTTGGCTGGGTACCTGGACGCCCTCCCCTGCCTAGTCCCCCGGCCGTGCCATCCCCAGTCCAGAGGGGAAGGAACAGAAATGAAAGTGGGGACGGAGAAGCGCTTGAAAAGGGGAAGTTGTGCGCGTTCTCCGTCTCTGATCTGATGGGAACGCACTAGACTGTGAAACTTCCTCCTCCACCTCCCGCCCCTCCCCCTCCTTTTCTCCCCCTCCGCCCGCCCTCCCTCCCTCCCCTCTCTCTCCCTCCCCTCCCCTCCCCTGCCCTCCCCAGTCCTCCTGCCTCCTCCCACCATTCACTGTTCCAGGTTCCGAGACTGGCAGACAGAGGCCATGATAACAAAATGAGGCTGGCCTGGTGATGTAGGCACAGCTACCAGCCCTGCCAGCTTCAGGGGAAGCAGGAGAGGAAGGTGCTTGAGTTGGCTTTGGACTCTGGACCTACCCTCTGCCTGCCCAGCGTCCCTCCCCACAACTAGGGAAGTGGAACCATGTCACAGGGTGTGCCCCCGTCCATGTGCTCAGCCAGGTGTGCGCCCAGGTACTGGGTAGAACCGCCACTCGGAGGTTAGTGGGTACCGGGCCGGGCTTCCTGGTGCTGGTGGGGCCTTGCTCCCGGGAGGATGTCTGATTTGTAGAGAGGCCCCGCTCTCCCTCAGGGGCAGTGAGGGCTGCCCACCAGGACAGGGCACGCCGAGGGGGGGGCCTGTGAATGGGGTGCCCATGGATACTGTTGTCTGGTACTTACTCTGCCTCTGGAGGTGAGGAAGCAGGGCCCTGGGGCCTCTCTTCCTCAACCTCCAGAGTGAGATTCCACCTGAGACTGAAGTTCACTTCTGAGACCATCTTCAGTGGGCCTGGGAGATGGTTTAGTGGTTTTCCTTTGGATCTGCATTGGCTTGGACCTGGGAACTGTGTGGTGGGCGGTGAGTGTGTGTACCAGACCCGAGGTCTGCTCCCTGCTCCTCCTGCAGAAAACACTGGCTCAGGTCCGTGCCCGCCCTCCTTGGCTGGGCTGCGCCGTTCCCTGGGGCCACGGTGACTTCCAGGCTCCCAGCTTCCCTCTGTCCCTCCTCCTTCCCTTGGCTCCCCACTGCCTCCTGCTGCCTCCCACGCTCCACGGGACGAAGGCCTGGGGAGCATCCTCCCCTCCAGCCCGCCCGCCCGCCCGCCTGCCCACCCGCCACAGGGTTCCCTGCTCTGTACTCAGTGGGAAGTTTTCAGACGCGGGTTCTTGCTGGTGGTGTTGAGAAAGGGACAGAGAGCCTGACTTTGTGGAGAGCCGCTGCCTGGAGACACAGGTCTGCATACCCGGCCTCAGGGGAAACCAGTGCTGCTGATGCTGGGCCTGCCCACCACACTGAGGAGGCTGTGACTTCTTGCCCTGAAACCTCAGTGGGGTCTTGAGGGGCTCAGTGCTTCTGGAGCATGGTATTCCTGCTTTGGGATCTGGGGTCTGGGAAGCGTGGTGGTCCCTGTGTGCTAAGCCTTCTTTTGGGGGACAAGCTGCCAGAGAGAGAGAGAGAAAGACCTTTTCACGTTCCCCTCCACCCCAGGCTCCCATGCCCATGCCCTTCATTTTATTAACCTTTCCTTTGATTCATTAACCGCAGCTAGTTGGCAGAGGCCTCACCCTGACGGCTTAAGACAAAATGTCCAGGACACAGGGCCTGGGCTGGAGCAGGGAGTGACAGGAAGTTGGGCTGGGCCTCTCAGTCCATCCGTTCAATGGTCTGGGACTGAAGGCAGAATGTTCTCCTTTCAGAAGGGCATCCCCAGGCCCCTCTCACACCAAGGCCAGTCTTCCTCACGGCCAGGAGCCTGAAACCAGCATTCCCAGAGGCACGAAGAAGGATGATCTGGGCCCTGCTTCCGGCACCCCTCCCCCGCTCTGGCTAGAGCTCTGGCTCAGTGGCGTAAGTAGCTGTGACTCAGCATCCAGCCCCGTTGGGAGGGAGGAACTGCTGCCTCGAAGGCACCTTCTCTGCGTTCTGGATTTGAACACCTCGAGGTCGCGCAGGACGTGGCGGCAGCATTAGGGTCTCTGGGGTGAATATCTTTTTGTTCCGTGGGTTTGGTTTTGGATTTCATAAACAAGAATGCCTCCCCTTCCCATTTTCTCCCGTGGTATTTTTTGGGCACTGTGCCACATGTGATATTTAGGACTTTAAAGGAAACAGCATCCTTTATGGAGTGAAGTAGCAGCTCTTGTCACAGTCTCCAGACTGTTCTGTAACCAGTAGCCGTGAATTGTATTTTTAAAACAGCGTATCAGGTTTTGCATGCCTGGAGACCAAACGTGGCCTCTGCAGGCCACTCTGCTTCTGCCGTGCGCTGTCTCCATTTCCTTGTCTGAGTTTCCTGCCGGCCCTTGGAGCACTGAACGTGCCGTGACCAGCCTGCCCGGCTTCCTCAGACGAGCCCTCTGAGGCCCATTCCAGGGAGGTTCTCCCAGTCTGGGCTGAGCAGGAAGTGAGGCCACTGAGTCTGATTCACTGCGTGGTGACCTTTCCTCCGTGCCCGGTCCCTGCTCAGGCTGAGGAGTGTCCTGGCTGTGAGGGGGTGGGGCGGACAAACCCGCAAACAGAATTGGACGCAGAGATGCACCAGGGCTGCAGTTGGGCTCCCGAAGCCCTTTTTCTGCACAGTGGCACCTCCCATGGTGACAGACCCACTCCTCGGGTGGGCGGTTTTTCTCTCTGGGCAGCCCACCCAGCCCTTTGCTGCCGGCCAGTGTGTTTGGGACCACGAGGCCAATGTGGGAGGATCCTGCCACCTGCAGGTGACAGCTGAGCCCTCAGCAGGCTGGGACTTTCCTGGGCTGGGCCTGGGTGACACTCACACCCAGTGCAGGTGGGCAAACCGCTTCCAGCCTTCGTCAGGCCACCGGCTCGGTCCAGGTAGGAAACAAAATCAGCAGCTTGTTTCAGGTGAGTCACTGAGCAGCAGAGCGAGAGGGAAGCCCGGGTCTGTGGGGAGAGCTGAGACCTGAACAGGCCCTTTCATCCAACAGGACTGGAAAGGCAGAAGGTTTGGGGACTCAGATTACTTTCTTTCCCTTCTTTAGAGTGTTTACAGCGATGCACTGTTAATGATTTATTTATCTCTTCCAGAGAACTAAAAGTATTTTGACCCAGAAGTTGGGGTCCCTAACTCTGGTGTCCCTTCACTCGTAGTGGGGCAGGCCCCTGTGCTGTGGGCAGCCCATGTTCTGAACTCCCGGCCGACGTTTCCTGGGGAGCAGGAGAGACATTAATTAATCACCCTGATGATCAAATGACATAAGTGTGTTCTGAAGGAACAGAACTAGATGCTGTGAGATGTGACTTAGCTGAAAGCTGGGCTGGGGGCAAGGTGGGGGAGCTTCCCTGAGGAAGAGATCTGAAGGGGACGTCAGACCGCCCGGGGTTATGTGGGGAAGGGGGCTTGGCAGGGTGGGGGGCGTTGACAGGTGGTAGCAGTGGGAGAGTGGATGGAGAATGTTCCAGAAAGGGTACAGTGTATGCAGGGGCCTTGTGGTGGGAGGACGGGTGCTGTCTGGGTCACTGAAGGATGCCTGTGTGGCAGCATCTTAGGAAAGGGTTTTGTGGGTGCTGGTGAATGGGAATCGCAAAGGGAGAAGGGGTTGGCTGAAGTGAAAAGCAGAAAGACGGATATTTAGCAAAGGGATTGGAAATCTCTTCCTGGTATAGGATTCAGACCCCATGATAATTACGGTCATGTGACCCTCACTCCTGACCTAAAAACCCTCGCAGCGAGCCAGCTAACAGGCCCCAGCTCCCCAGCTGCAGCCCAGGCCTTGCAAACCCCCTGGGCTGCAGAGCGTGGTGCTGCTGTCGGAATCACTTGGGAGTCCTCACAGCACTGGGGGGGTTCATCTCCAGTGGCGCCCACTCCCGCTGCCGTGCTGTGAGCCACTGCAAAGGCCACAAAGGCCTTCTTCTTCAAGAACACAGCAAGCGGCCCACCTTCCTGGGCCCTGGTGGAACCAGGTGTGCTGCTGCCTCCACCGAGTCCAGCGTGTAGTATAGTCAGTGCCGTCCCGCTTCCATGTAGAAATCGTGCCTTAGGTCCCCCTGCCCCTCGCCCTGTCCTGCTTATGATTAAGTTCAACAACAGCATGAAGTGATAATCCTGCTATGGAGCAGGCAGCAGAGGGGCAGAAACAGACTTCAGGGTTAGACCTGGGATCTTTAGTTATTGAACGACGCCAAGGAGCCATTTCTTTGGCAAAACTGGGAATAATACCTGCTTCAAATGGTTATTGTGAGGGTTGAAGAGTATAGCCCAGTGTTCAGATGTTATATACTCCTCCTACCCCCTAGAGCAGGACACACTCTTCCCTCCAGGAACCAACAACTTACAAGCCTATATATCTGGAGGCCTAAAGGATTGGTAAGGAACCTGAGAGACAGAGATTCCATCTGTCTCCTCTTTCTCTCGGTCGTAGTCTCAGAAGAGAGAGAGACACATGTTTTCTTAGCTTCCAACAACCGAAGAACGTGATGCAATTAGGAGATGGGACATTTAACTTACATACGGTTTGAAAATCTTATATTCAGGCAAATTTTGAAAACAACACGAATCAAAACTCAGCTCTGTGTTGGAGGACTATCTGCTGTACTTGGTACAGTTTTCGGGCACCACTTTTGTGTGTCACCCCAGAGGTTGAGTAAGATCAACAGTGTTCTCACACTTCCTTCTGTTTGGTGGGGCCCAAGTTCTTCCTGAGCAGGGCCCCTGGCCGTTGCCCCGGCCCAGGTGAAAGTGGCTTTGTGAGGTGGCAGGTGGGGCTTGTTTCCTGATGGAGCGCGTGACGGTGACGCCCGAAGAACATCTTACACACTGTGCGCTGTCTCGGAAACGCAGGGCCGCACTGATGTAGAAATGCATTTTAGTAACAGCTCTGGCTCATCGTCTCATCGTGTGTGTGATAATCTATAGGGACTAGTTGTGGAGTCAAATTAACGTCGAGCTTATGGATTTTGTTCCGCTGCATCTGTGCAAGATATCTCTCAACCATGCCCTGCATCTCCAGGAGTGTGACCGGGACCCTTCGCTCTGCCTGTCACGTGGGACATCATCAGTGGAGCTGCAAGGAGCTGTTCTCCTCGGCACAGAGGCTGGGTCTTCTGATCGCCTCTCCCTTTTTTCTTCGGTGAGATCCTCTTCTTCTGGAAGCTGGTTTCACATGGTGGCTTAGATTTTTCCATCTTTGTATCTAGCACCATTTGAAATCAGTGTTTTAGGAGTAAGAATTGCAGCACAGCCAAGGGCCGACGGCAGCGGCGCTGCTGCTCTGCGGCCGGGCTCCTCCTGCCACCTGAGCCGGGTCCACACGGAAGCAACGCAAAAAGCAAAGCATGCTCTAGAGTATGTTGCGTTTGGGGGTAACAGTGGGTAGGGAGGAGTTCGTGTTTGCAGTCACCTAGGGGTTTGAGCAGGGGTGGAGGCTGTGATACTCTTTCTGCTGACAGGTAGCAAGAGTACCCGGTCAGCAGGGCCTTTGAGTCGGTGGTGGGCACCGCTGGGGTGGGACCTGGGTCGAAACAGGGAAGGGGAGAGGGCTGTGTGCCCCAAGGACTGTCCCATCCGCACGGGCACTGCCCGCCTGCCCCTGGGCCCTGGAACATGCAGCTGCCTTTGCACAGCAGCTGACGTCAGACTTGCCACCTGCACCGTCGAGGTGCGGGAGCCCCGGAGCACCACTGGACCCATCTCTTACACAGGCTGACCGATTTCTCCTGGTGTTCAGAGTCTGTTTTTGTCTAGCACCATTTGAAATCGGTTATGATGTAGGGGGAAAAGCAGCGGCCTCAAAGCCTGGTGCCAAGTCGGCTCAGCAACAGCCTGTGGTTTCCTGGAAGATGGATGGGCGTAGGGTGGGAAGGAAGGTCACACTTTTTCCTATTAACTCCTTTACCTGCATTTCCAATACTTTGTCGAAGAGGTAGGAGATGATTCAGTGGGTTTTAAAAAACAGATCACACTAACTTATCTGAGGTCCTCAGTTGCATTTTGCTGAAATGTATACTGGTGTAAATTCTATAATTTGGTTACTTGTTGACTTACCTTTCTGTTAAGAAAAGACTATTCTTGCATCTGAGCTTAATAAATATTTCACTGTATTCAGTTTACCACGTCTTTGTTTTTCATTACTTTTTATTATAGTTCCGCAATGATGAAAGGTGGGGATCTGAAAGTTAATTTCCGATGCAAATCTTAACTGTGTTATAAAGCACTTGAGTGGGTTACAGCAGACAGTAAAAATGAAGCCCATTAAGATGAAAACAGAAATCTAGGAGCCAAGAAATACAATAAAATGAGAGAAAAGATGCTGCCATTTTGACCGCCTGGGGCTACTCCTGTTTGGGAGACCGACCTGGACGGCAGTGGGCCACAGCCTGCCCACAAAGGTGGTGGTGCTCCTCCACGTGACCTTTATGCTGGCGGACAGTGGGGCAGGCTGATGATTCCAGTGGAATTGTAAGCAGTGCAGGAGTTTTTTTCTCTCAGTTCTTAGTTTCTATCAGCCCTTGGAGACGGGGAACAAGTTCTGTAAAGGTGTTCGGAAACCTGTGGGATCTTCAGGTTGCAGGGTGGTTCTCAGAAAACGGTGACAACTCAGCCACCTGGGAAGCTTCTTCCGTGAGATGGCCACCCTGCCGGGGGCGGGGGGTGGTTCAGTGAGGCATCTGCTGGGAAAACTTCCCTGTGAATGCCATTTGCCCTGACTGCAGCTCCAGGGCTGTTTTAATCTGTTGATGGAAGGTTCTGGGTTTCTGATCCCAGGGCTGTTTTATTCAATTCTCCATGGAGGCAGGTTACAGAAGTACCTATGGGTCTGGGAGCTTTGGGTCACTTGTAACAAATGGAACAGTTTTTGCTTCATCCACTGTGTTCCAAGCCCCAGCCTAGGTACTGGGCGAGGGGAGGAATATGGATTCTGCTGTCAAGTTGCTCTGATTTCAGTCCCCAGATGACTAAGTGCTACAAGTTGGAATGGGTGAACAGAATGTTTTTTTGGGCACACCCAGATAGAAAATGCTTTGTTGGGGGTGGGTCCTGCCTAGCTGAGTTGTACCACGTGGTTAGCTGTCATAAGTGTGTTGGTGGAAGGGAGTGTTGGACAGAAGGTACACTCAAGCCCTGTGTAAGTACTACTGGGGAGAGTGCCCATCTGTGGAAGTAAATGCTGATGAGTTCTTGATAAGCCTGCAGCAGCAGATCTGAACAGTCCCACCCTACTTTCTGGTTAGATTTATCCTACGAGCCTTTACTGATTCTTGGGCCCCAGCTGTACAGGTTCTGGCTTAACTGATCTGGGACTGAGGCCTGGACATCACTTTTTATTTGTTTTAAACTCATCCCGGGTGATTCTGATGTGTAGCAAGGGGTCGAGAGCCAGTGCTCTGTGGTCTTGTTTCTGAAAGGTTCTGCTGCTCAAAGTGTGTTCCGAGGACCCACAGGAAACGAATAGCTGTTCTAACAAATCACAACAAACTGGGAGTCTCAATCTCTTCAGGCTCTATGAAAAATACTACAGCCTGGGAAACTCGCAAACAACAGAAGTTTATTCCTCACAGTTCTGAAGGCTGGGAAGTCAAAGATCAAAGGCACTGGTAGTTACGGTGTCTAGTAGGAGCTAGCTTTCCGGTTCGTAGACAGTGCCTTCCAGCTGTAAGTTCACAGGGCAGAAGGTGTGAGGGAACTTTCTTGGGCTTCTTTTACAGGGACTCAGTCCTATTCGTGAAGCCTCAGCCCTCATGACCCACTAACCACCCAGCGGCCCCACTTTCTGATACCATCACCTCGGGGGCTAGGGCAAAACATGGGAATTTGGAGGGGCATAAACATTCACACGGTGTCTCAACACACGTTTATTCTTTCAGTTCTGGAAGTTGTAACTTGAATTAGTTTCACTGGGTTGAAATCAAGGTATCAGCAGGGCCATGAAACCACCAGAGACTAGGAGAGAATCAGTCTCCCCGCCTTTTCCAGTTTTGAGCTCCATTCTTTGGTTTGAGGCTCCTTCCTCCACCCTCCAAGCCAGCAGCATTTGCCTCAGTGGTCACATTGCCTTTTGCTACAGTCAAATCTCCCTCTGTCTTCCTTTTGCAAGATTGGGATTATATTTAGGACTCCATCCGGATAATCCAGGATAGTCTCCCCATCCACGATCTCATCTTCGAAGACCCTTTGCCATACAGGTACCATCCACAGGTCCCAGGTGTTAGTACCCCAATATCTGTGAGGCCATTACCACAAACAGTGGGTAGAATGTGGGACTCTCAGAAATGCACACACTGGGCCCCACCTGAGACCTACCCAATCAGAGTCTGCATTTAACAAGATTCTCAAGTGATTCACCTTCACACTAAAATTTGAGAAGCTGGGTTCTGTGTGATCTTATCCAAGGATTCTCTCATAATTGAGTCCCATGTCAAACGCAAACTGAAGTAGTATTTTCCTAGGAGCCTTTACAGGGGGCAGCAAGTGATCAGTGACTGATCATTTTCCCAAATGCCATAAATAAGTGCTCATCTAAATACCAGTCGTTTCCAAAGTTCTCAGGGAAGCCACGAGCCATAAGTGCCAGGATAGCAGAGCTACTGTTCCTGATATCTGGGCAGGGCTTACCACTGCAGCATACAATAATTCAGTTCTTTAAAAGTGACATAAAAAACATAACCGTGAGTGGCTCCTCTTGCTAACATCAATCAGTGTTACTGCCTCTGTGCAGATTTTCTTAGGCTAACAGATTTTCATGGGCTAACCTCGTCAATGGATCTATGCCTATGGCAATTCGTTCACTTTCTGCTGGTATATAAATGACAGGGAAGGAAGAATAGTTTACTGACTACAGATCCCCAATGCTGTACTTTCCCCATATTACACAATAAGGGACAGAGTTTAGACACTTTACAAATGTTAATTTCCCAGAAGGAAACCGGGAAAGAGCTAGTTAATGCCAGACCCAAAAGAAAATGATAAACGGCTTCTGGTAATGACTAAAACTTCAGAGTAAAGACAATTTGAAGGCTTACGGAAGAGATTGTCAAATGCCCCGTCTGTCCACAGGAGGGCAGCAGTGCTGTTATTTACAAAGACGATTTCATTTCAGTGGAACCTTTCATGAGCCTGGAAATAAGGTAACAATGCAGCTGGGTGGGGGGCCAGGGTGCAGTGTGAGGGAGGGAGCACAGTCACTCAGTTTTGCATGGTTTCTGGAAGTCGGTACACTATGTTAAATTCTGCTCGAGTACGAATACTCCAACTTTTTAAATACATAAAGTTCAAGTTACAATGTTAGCGGTCACTAAATTTTAGAGTATGGGAGTTGCCTACTTTCCTTAAACCTAACATCTGCCTTAACAATGAACGTTCAAATTCCTCCTGTTCCAGGTGTCTTCAGCACCCTCGCAGACTTCCACTGTTAATCACCTGGAGTGTTCTCCCTGTATATATTATACCAATGTGCAAGTATTACAAATAACCTTAAGTTAAAAGACAATTTGATAAAATGCCGTATTTGTAGTCAACCTAATTTTCATCTAATGCTGATGTTAGAAAGACTGCTTTTGTATTTTTAAGCCACAGATTATCTTGTTTGGTTAGCCAGGCAACAAGACCTGCAGTTTTCTCATCTCTTTAATAGGCCAATTTAATAAAACCTCAAATTTCTTAAGTCAGTGTAAGCCTTTACCCATGATAAGTTTCTGTGCAGAAGTGGACCCTGAGACTCGAGTCACTAATGCAGATTCTCAACCTTAGCTGCCTATTAAAGCACTGGGGAGCTTTAAACAGAAGTCCCTGCGCCCAGGCCACGCTGCAGACCCTGCGAGAGAACTCTGGGTGGAAGCTCCCAGGGGACTGCACTGCAGCCACGACTGAGACACACTGAAGCCTGATCTCCAGGGTTTAGCAATCTGATTTAATGCCAAGAGCAAGAATTTTTTTTTTTTTGCATAAGTAAAAATAAATCCTAACTTAGTTACACAAATCAAATTTTGTAATTTCACTGTTGGACCTGGGTTTTTAATTAGTTCACCATACCTATGCATTAAACTGTCGTGGAAGATAGGTCTTTTAGCAGACGTGTCTGTCTATAGATCCTTTGATGTGGTTGACTCAAGCTATGTGATACCTGGACAGAAGCCCAGAATCTGACATGACCATAAGTGTTTCAGGCACCAGTGAACTAGGTGTGCAGCACAGGGCAGATGGTCTGGCTTGACTGACAGGTTACTTGAAGAAATTCAGCGTAAAGAGGTGTCTTGGGAAGAAAAGTGGGGATTTAATTGTAGGAGGTCTTCAAGCATCATTCTCAGGAACTTGGACTTCGTGCTGTAGGTAACCTGGTGTTACTGAACAGGAGAGGCACGTGATGGGCTGAGAGTGGAGAAGCCCAGATGTATTTTGGCTCTGAGATGTGAGTCAGGATGACTGTTGCCAGGATGGTTAGAGAAGATGGGACCCGATCAGAAACATACAGACTGACGAAAAACACACTGGAGAGAAACACAGTGGCACAAAGGGGAAAGTTCATAATCTTCCATTTTATTTTTAGCAGATTTTGAAGATTTTTTCAAAAACCTCCTCTACACACGGGGCTTCCCATTTCACTGCAAATACATTTTTTCCCAGCTTTAAGAAACTTTAATTCAAATATCCTTCCTTCTCTGTCATTTGAACAAACTTTTCAACAAAAATTGGTTCCCTCATAATTTCAGCAACTGAAAAATTATTTGACATACTATTTATATATATTAATCTCATATTAAATTGAAAAAAATTAATTTGAAGCATAAACTACTATAAAAGTTCACTTATTTTGGTAAGTGTGGCAATCTTTGGTTGAAAAATATTTCAATTAGGCTTTAACAAGTAAATAGTACATCTACCCCTGCTTCTAAGCAAGCACTATATTCTTCAAAATAAGTATGTGAAAATAAGTAGACTTGTAATTCCAAATTCCAGTTTATTCCCACTCAAAGTCATCTTCCAAATGCCCCTCACCAGAGATTACAGAGGGAAGGCACACTTTATAGAGTAAAACAGTCTTTCCTCTGGTCCACTGATTCCCCAAATCATGTCCAATTTGGGGCAACATCTCTTTGGCCCAATTTGTGCTACAAAACAGAAAAGTGTAAAACAAAATGTGTAAGAAAGAATTCGAGTAGCAGTCCCTCCTTTTTGTCCACTGGGTCATCTGAAAGCGACCCTGACTGGTGTGAGGACTCAGAAGAGGGGGAATCTGTTCCACCTGAGCATGAAGTGGTAACTGAGCTAAGAGATTTCTCTTCTAGGACCCACAAACAACACAGTTTCCTTTTCTGGCAAGATGCATACAAAAACTAATTCTGATGCAACTTGAGGTTATCTAAGTCTACTCCCCACAAAACTGCCTAAGGCTAGGTGACCGAGTGAGTGAGCTATGTTTTTTTTTTCAAGTAGGGGGAGAAAACCACCAAGGCCAGAACTCTACATCCCTTAAAGAGTAGAATTCTCCCTGAAAAAACTACAAGGCCACAGCATTCACTTTGTATTAAGCTGGCATTCTTGTTATTGAATGTGTTCTAACTTTTTATAGACGTATACGACTGTTGCTGAAGTTTTACCGATTTAGATTAGTTGATATTAAAATGAACAGCCTTGGCTGGTGTGGATCGGGGGATTGACCGCTAGCCTGTGAACCAAAGTGTCGCCAGTTCTATTCCCACTCAGGGCACCTACCTGGGTTGCAGGCCAGGTCCCCAGTAGGGGTGCTCAAGAGGCAACAACATGTTGATGTTTCCCTCTCTTTCTCCCATTCTTTCCCCTCTCTAAAATTAAATAAAATCTTAAAAAAAAAGTGAACAAATGCCATACATTAACTTTACTTATGGCTTCTCTAAACAACCAAGAAGTTACAAATGTTTCTTTTTAATAGAATTTTACTGTTTCCTCTGAGTATATTCCAATAATATCCTTAGTTAAGGAGGTCAAACTTAAACTCAGTTTTTAGTAGTCTTGTTTTTAATTTTTAAGGGCTCAAGTTTTATATGCATATTTACACAAACTTTTTACAATAAACTATATTCCATATATATAACAGTTGAAAGCATGAATCTTAAGAGTTGGTATTACTAACTTTTTAATAAAGGGTTCCAAAGTCACATTCTTTACAGGTGAAATGTAATCTCATTTTGAAGTATATTTCTCTAAATTTTGAGATTTTTATAAAAACATTTTCTACCTTAACACCACCAGGGGCCCTGTGTTCACTCGCCCTGCAAATGCCAATTGCTCTTCGAGGTACAAGCGCCAGGGTGTTCAGACACAAATTCATGCCCCTTTCAGAGAAGCATGGAAGGACAATGACAATTATACCTGTAGCAGAAAGGAGCTCCTACCCTTTGCAACAGCAGGGATAGAACTGGAAAACATTATGCTGAGTGAAATAATCCAGGCGGTGAAAGACAAATACTATGATCTCACCTTTAACAGGAACCTAAACAACAAAACAAACAAACGAGCAAAATATAACCAAAGACCCAGAAATAGAGAACAGGTGGACAGTGACCAGAGGGGAGAAGGGAGGGAATTTCAGGGGTAAAGGGGAAGGATTTACAGGAACTAGTATAAAGGACACACGGACAACAACTAAGGGGGGTGGAAATGGGAGGGAGCAGGGAGGGCTGGGTGGGTGGGCTGGGCTGGGATGGGAGTAAAAACCAGAAAACTGTACTTGAAAAATAATAAACAAACAAAAAAACCCTGAGCACCGTCTGAACACTCATGACAAATGTAAGAAATCATTGAGCACCTCTGTAGGCTCTTCCTTTATAGTTTTATGGATATAATGTGTACGTCTGTATGTTTAAGGTGAACATGATTTAATAATTTGCATTATGAAATGATAGCACAATAATTTTAGTTTATACCTGACTCAGTTACAAATTTTTTTTTTCTTTGTGAGTAGAATTTTTAACATTAAGAACTTGCCGACATGCACTCCAGCACACCGGTCACCATGCTGCGTGTCACATCCCAATATGCGCCTGTAACTGTAAGTCTGTGACTTTTGAACACCTCATTCAATTTTCTTACCCCACCACCCACCACCCACCTCCGGTCCCTCCAAAATGGATGGCTTGTTTTTTTATAGATTCTACATGTAAGGTCACACAGTATTTGTCTCCCCTGTATGACATTTCATTTAGCAAAATGCCCTCAAGGTCCATCCTCGTTGTTGCCAAGGTCCGGATTTCCTTTCTATGACTGAATAGTATTTCACTGTGCAAGTATACCTGCCTTTGTCCACCGATCTGTCGACGGACACTTTGGCTGTTTCCACGTCTTGGTTATTGTAACTAATGCTGCAACAAACAGGGAGGGGCAGGTATCTCTTCCACATCATGACTGCACTCCATTCAGATAGGTACCCAGAAGTGGAACTGCCAGGTCATAAGGGGGTTCTGTGTTTAACTTTTTGAGGATGCTCCATACTGTTGTGCACAGCAGCCGTGCGAAGTTAATGTGGACCTTGACATTCTAACAGAGTCAGAAGGTAAAAAGTCTTATGCCAGTTTGGGGGAAACCACTTCGTGCTCTGCTGGAGTGCTCGACTTGTCCTGGCAAGGCCTGTACTCGGCATTCACCTCTGTTTTCCTAAAGGCGAGGGAGGTAAAGAGGTAGCGTGAAAGAGAAACATGATTAAGTACAGAAGTGAAATTCAGAAGCTTACTTAGAAAGTGGACAGTTAAAATAAACTGTATCAAGTCCCTGATCTAAGAAATAATTATTTTAAAATAATTTCAGATGTTCAGTTCTCCTCCCTCAGAATCTCTCATCCTAGTCCAGCACTGTCTAAAAAATATGAGTCATATGGGTAACTTTAAATTTTCTAGAAGCCACATTAAAAAATTAAACAGGACTATTAATTTTAATGTCTTTTACTTGACCCAATACAGGGGACATATTATTATTTTGTCATGGATTTTACATTTCCAGCACAGCCTGCATTGGAGTGGACACATATGAAGTCCTCAGCCACACACGGCCATTACCTTTTGAATCACAAAATGTCATGGTCGTCCCCGCCTCAGTCAGCTGACCATGACAGATAGACTAAGACAGGCCCAGCCAGTTATCTGCACTATGCTTGTGACAGCAAGCACGTCCGGGATGCCTGCCCAGTGTCAGAGGACCAGTTAGCCCTGGATTCTTGATATTTCTCTCTGTGGGGAGGCACCACTGTGAGCCACCACTGTCACGGGACCCACTTGTGGTCCAGAAGCTTCCTAAAAACTACCGTGGGGGCCGATGTCGTGGTTAGGCCAGTCCCTGAGTGCTCCAAGATGGCTGTATTTCTCTATTTCTTGAAGTCAACTCATTTTTTTCTCTGTAAAGTGGAATCCTTTTCTTTAAATTAGAATTTAAAATATAGTTCCTATGTGAGAAAGACAACAAATTTATAACAATATTTACTTGATATAACAATGAAGCTATTTGAAGATGACAAAGATCTGAATCCCAATTACTAATGACCATTATTTTATATTAACTTCGGCATTTGTTAAATTAACTTCGACTGGTTACAGACAACTTGAAGGTCATGACATTCTAAAAACCACTTTCCTGGTTGGCTTCAGCCCCAAGGAATCCCAAGAGAACAAGATAGAGAGCGCTGGGAGGCCCGGACTGCTCTTCTAATAGGAGTGTTTGTCTCCCCTTTCCCCCTGGGATCGAAGACACCACTGTGCTTTTACCAAGAAATTGCCCTTCCCACTGGGCTTTGCAGAACCTGCACCCAAAGTCTTCAGTGTAACCCAGGGTAGCACCTCACACCACAGGTGTTGGGATACAATCTCCCTCTCCTCCCCGCTCTGCGGACACACATTCTAACAGAGGGACACTTCCAGTTCATCTTATTCAGACAGAAGCTGGAGGGGTCAAGAGCTTTCAGGCAGTGCAATCCACAGTTTTTCAAAATCTAGGGATCTTTGTTTTGCTGGCTTCTCTTTATATGGTAAAAAAAGTTCTGGTCAAGAAAAAAGATACATGCCTTTACGGAGTTAATATTTACAACTTGAAATTAAGCATATTAAAAAAATAAGTAAAATGTATTTTGGCTTCTGTAAATGGACATTTTTCTTCCCTGAACTTAAAGTGAACAGGTCTATGATTATTTGCCACTTAGCTAAAAAATTATTTCAGATTCACAGCAATTAAAAGCTAGAGGACAAGGGGACCCCGCCTCAAAGACAAAGCCTGTCAGTTCACATTCTTTTCCATTAAAATTGGAATGGTATAAAAAGATGGATAATTTGGCACAGGAAACAGGAATTTAAGTGCCCGCTTTAATGTTTACTGTTATTGTATCTTAGATAGGGTTACTGACATCTACATATTTATTCAACATCTGAAAAGAAACACAGAAAGCAGATACCTTTTAATGATACAAGCAAACCTCTCATCTCTTCTTCTCAGAGAGAAATAAATAGTTCTCTGTGGCTCTCACCAGTTAGGTAGGTGCTGAACAGAGGAAGGGAAAAGGCCTGAATAAAATGGCGACCACAGACCAGAAGGAGGAGCGGCGTGATGACTGGGGCGGAACGAGTGACGGCAGTGGAAGGAACGCTGGTGAGAGGTTCGCATGTGGTGACTTTTCTGATTCTTATTTAGGAAACAGAAGGAGGAACGTCGTGCAAGAGGCTCCTTTAAACTGGAAGTCTTACAGCTCATCCAGCAGATAAATAGAGATGCTAATTTTCTGTGCAATCTGTTTATCTCTGAAACACGGAGCCTGAACTGGATTACGTAAAGTCTTTCACAGAGTAACAGATGGAGGGAGAAGTGGCCCTGGTCTCTAGTGCCTTAGATTTGAGGGAACACAGAGAGCGCACATACGAAATGCATTTAACTCTGCCTTAGAAATCCATTCTGTGGCAAGTCACACATTTCCAGCTGCATTGTGACTTCTGTATTGAACAGAGTTTTTTCCCGGGGCACATTCGTTTGCAACCTCAGAGAAGGTCTCTGCAAAACTGATGATAGGACTTTCCACTTTCCTGGGATGCCTTTAAATCTCATTAACGTGCTTGCTCAAGTAACTACAAAATCTCTGTGTCATCTTAGTTTTCTGTTTAAAATGCTTGAGGAGCTTGTTGAATGCTCAAAAATTAGAGGACCAACTAGAAAAATGTTCAAGTTCATTTGACTCTTCAGTTCTTTGTCACATGTCACTCTAGTGTCCATCACCTGAGTGGCCAGTACGTACAGTAGATCCCAAAAACTTTGTGACATACATTTAAGCAGATAGCTTAAAAGTAAAATATTTTTTAAAAAATGCAAAGTTACTGAATCAGGCATTATTAGCCTAACATTAAAAACAGGGTTATGTTTTTAACAAATAATAAATATCCACAATGAAAAAAATCAATTTAGTCACAATGATTTAAATTACTGAAATATAAAAATTATGCAAAGAATTCTAATAAACTCTGGCAAACTCTCACCCTGAAATTGAAATAACTGGATTAAAGAAAAATCACACACTGCAAATAAGTGGAAACATTGAATTATTAATGTAAAGAAAAGGCAGCAGACTTTCGGACGCACACAGTGCAGGTAGGATATGCGACACGGGGCTGCAGCAGGGGCGTGGGGCGGCGCTGTGCACTCCAAGACGAGACAGTGTGGCAGAAGAATTCGCTAAGAAAGGAAATGCAAGGAGCGTGTGGATGGAGCCCATTTGAGACTGACTTTGGGAATCCTATTCTGTCCTTGGGTTAGAGCTAAGAAACAGAAAACTGTATTAGAAAAAATTTCATGGCCATTTTCAACATAATTTCAGTGATGTTTAATGACCTTAAAAATGACTACTTATACTATTTTGTAATTTGTTTTTTTGCTTTGTCCTTGTTCTTTATTAGCCAATGGATGGGGGACAGTTGTATTTTGACAGTGGCTTCCTTATATACTTTTGGTGACATTCTCCCATATGGACTCTCCAGTCATACACTTTTTAGGAAATGCTACAAGGGCGCCTAATGTATTCTCATACCTACACATACCCCCTCACACACGTTACCTTGCATACTTCAGCAGTTTCCCCAGAGAAGTCTAAGGTGTAATCAAACCTTACATGTACATGCACATTTTGTTGGCTATTCTATGTCTCATTCCTTTTCCTTTTCATTTCAATTTCAATTAATTTATCACCCTAACCCCCTCTCCTTTTGGCAATCCTCAGCTTGTTCCCTGTATCTATGGATTTGTTTGTTTTTATTTACTGGCTTTGTGTTTTTAGATTCCACTTATAAATGAAATCGCATGGTATTTTAATGTCTGACATATTTCACTTAGCATAATACCCTCTAGGCACTTCCATATTGTGGCAAATGGCAAGATTCCACCCCTTCTATGTTTCCTTATTGCTGAGTAATATCGCATTATATATGTTGACCACAGCTTCTTTACCCATTCATCTATCAACAGACACCTATGATGCCTCCATATCTCAGCTATTATAAATACTGCAGTGAATAAAAGGTTGCATATATCCCTTTAAAGTAGTAATTTTGTTTTCTTGGACAAATACCCAGAAGTAGAATTGCTAGGTTATATGGTAACTCTGTATTTAATTTTTTGAGGAGTCTTCATACTTTTTTCTATAGTGGTTGTACCAGTTTACAATCCCATCAACAGTGCCAACATCCACATCCTGGCTAGCACTTACAGCCGTTTTGACAGGTGTGAGGTGACAACTCATTTGGTTTAATTTGCATTTTCCTGATGACTAGTGATGCTGAGCATCTATTCATGCCTGGTGGCCACTGGTATGTCTTCTTTCGAGAAATGTCTATTTAAGCCTCCTGCCTGCTTTTAAAATTGGATTCTATTTTGTGTGTGTGTTAAGTTGTATGAGTTCCCTATACATTTTGGATGTTAACTGCTCATTGGATGTTATTAACAAATATTTTCTCCCACTCAGTAGGCTCTCTGTCCTTTTTCTTGATGATTTCCTCACTGTGCAAAATACTGTAGTTTGACGTGGTCCCATTTATTTTTTGCTTTTCTTCCCCATTCCTGAGACGTACGTAAAAGATATTGCTAAGGCTGAGGTCAAAGAGTTTACTTCTATGTCTTCTTCTAGCTTTATGGAATCAGATCTTACATTTAAGTCTTTTATCCATTTTTAGCTTTTCTGTATATGGTATTAAGAAAGCAGTCCAATTTCACTGTTTGCATGCACCTCTCAAGTTTTTCCAGTGCCACTTAAAGTGATTGTCTTTACCCCACTGTATGTCCTGGCCTCCTCTGTCATAGATTCACTGACCACAATAAGCAACAATTTCTGGGCTATTTTATTCTATTGTTTACATATGTTTTTATGCCAGTATCATACTGTTTTGATTAGTGTTGCTTTGTAGTATAGTTTGAAATAAGGGTGCGTGATACCTTCCACTTCAAACTTTCTCAAGGTTTCATTGGTTTTCAAGGTCTTTTTTGGTTCAATTTAGATTTTACAATCAGATGTTCTAGTTCTGAGGTGAACACCACTGGTATTTTGTTAGGAATAGTACTGAATCTGTTTATTACTTTAGTTAGTAAGGACATCTTAACAATATTAATTTTTGCAATTAATAAGCATATACTTTCCATGAGATTTATATATATCATTCTATAATTTAAGCTTATAAAAATTTAAGAATGAATATGTTCTTAAAGGACTGTATTTTTAATATCCCCTTAAATGCTTTATCTTTCTTATGTCATACTGTAGATGTTTTTGTTTTGTGTATATCCTAGTTATTGAGTTTACTGAGTTTGATACTTTTGTCTTTGAACTTTGTAGTAGCTTTTGAAATGTCTGATTTGCTGCATGTATTAAATAAAAATATTTTCCTTTGCCATATTTTCTTATTCTGGTTGTGGCCTTTCCTTTTCTGTTTAAAGAAAACACTTTAACATTTCTTATTAGGCTGTTTTAATGGTGATAAAACTCCTTTAGCTTTTGCTTCTCCAGGAAACTCTTAATCTCTCCTTCAATTCTGAATGATAACCTTTCCAGGTAAACTATTCTACGTTGTAGGTTCTTTATAGCATAACATCGTTCTGGCTGGTACGACTGCTGCGGAGAATCCAGCTTACAGCCTCCTAGGGTTTCCACTGTATGAAGCTCGTTGTTCTCCTCTGAGGCCTTTGAAACTGTTTCTTCATCTTTAACATCTGCCACTTTAATTACAGTGTTTTGGTTCGGTCTCTTGGATTCATGTGTAGAACTCTCTGTGCATCCTGGACCTGGAGGTCTGTTTCTTTTTCCATGAAGTTTTACTACTAATATTTGTTCAAGTAAAGTTTCTTTACCTGTCTCTTTTTCCTTCTTCTGACATCCTTATAACACAAGTTTTTGTCAACTTGATGTCATTCCAGAGGTCCCTTAAACTATCCTCATTTAAATTTTTTTTCTTTTTGCTGTTCTAATTGGTTAATTTCCACTCGTCTGTTTTACAGGTCACTTGATTCATTCTTCTGCATTAACTAATCTGATGCTGATGCCTTTTAGTTTATTTCTCATTTCAGTTATTGCATTCTTCAGTTCTGCTTGATCCTTCATTATACTTTCTCTTCATTGAAGTCCTCTGTAAGTTCCTGTGTTCCACTCTCAAGTCTGATAAGCACCCTTATAACTGTTTCTTTCAATTCTTTATCAGGCAAATTATTTATCTCCATTTCATTGGGGTTTCTTCTGACACTTTTTGTTTCTTCATTTGAGAGACATTCTTTTGTTTTCATTGTGTCAGTTCCTATGTTTGTTAATATGAATTGGACAAAATAGTGATTTCTCCCAGTCTTGATACAGTGGCTTTGTGTAGAAGAGGCCTCTGTATAGATTGTGTGTGCCAGATGATTTTTTTGGCAGGGTGCTTGGAGCCAAGGAGATCCCTATAGCATCTAAGGTGTGGGCCTAGTGAGACAGAGAGGATCCAGGCAGGTGTGTACTCTATGGACCCTACTTCCTCCCTTTGGAGTTGAAATTAGCTCGTAATAATTCAACAAACTTACAAGTACGCCAGAGCACCTATACAGAGCTCCCATCCACCCTATTAAGGTGCAAAGGGACATGTACAATGTTTCTCACTGGCAGCTCCAACCTCAGAGATTTCTCTATTGCTCTTGCAGCTTGCCTAGTCCATCAGGTCTCTCTCTCTTTTGGTGTATAGAACATAGTCTTGTGTAGAAGTGACCCTGTATGGCTTGTGAGTACTGGGCAGTTTTGGCAGTCTAGTTGGAGCCAGGCAGGTGTCTGGAGCTCTACCTTGTCAGGCTGGAAGAGCCCCAATTGGAGACATCTTGTTCATCCTGCTTGCTCCTTTTATTTGAACCCGATATGGGCTATGGGGAGTGTGGCTGGAACACACTGCAGCGATCTTGCAGGTAGACCAAAACACCCAGATGGAGCTCCCACTGGCCTTATCAAGGTGGAGGGAGTGGTCTGCAATGGAGTTTACTGGCACTTCCTATCTGGAAGAGTTCCTGAAGATCCTGGACAGCCCCTGCAGTTTCCCAGATTCCTCTCGTTGGTCTCCTCTTATTTATTCTTCACAAGTTGTTCAGTCAGTCCTCAGGGAGTTTAGTGTCCACCTACATGATGGACATTCTCAGCCTCCTCACTATTTTGTACTTTGACGCGAAGTCTGTAGAATGGCAACTGCATTCCCAAATCATCATAAATACAAATTTACATCAAGTCCACTTTGTGCCAAGTTTTAACAGCAACCTGGGATTAACTGTGCATGGTGCCCTCCTTCCAGAGTAACCTCTACAAACAGGGAAGAAACTGCATGCACTTTAGTTTTGAAAGGAGTTTCTAAGGCAACAATGGTCAGCTTGCAGTACGGGGGTGTACAAGGACTATGAACATTAAACAGTTCAAAGAATGTAAGATAAATCTTTACGTTCTTAAAAGGAAAGCAAGGTAAAGCTACTAGGTATTACCCCACATACTTTTTAGAATATATACATAGATGAGGAGTTTTTTAAAATCCAATGATCTAAAACAGGAGAAAAAGTTGCCTATAAACTTCATTGTATTTCTTCAAATTTCAAATATACTGGCACATCAGTAACAGTCTTCACCCTGGTTCCTCAAAGTATAGCCCAGGTCCAGCAGCAGCACCATGTGGAGCTCATTAGTAATGGAATTTCAGATCAGTGATGGTACTGAACCTTTAATCTGGAGGTTAAATTGATGCTCAGATAATTTGTTACTTTTAAAGAACCATTAAGTGATAGAGTGTTTTATTCAAACTTGTTTAAGAACCTTTAACTCTTTTGCCCTGGATGCTGTAGCTCAGTAGATTGAGCACTGGCCTGTGAACCAAAGGGTCACCAGTTCAGTTCCCAGTCAGGGCACATGCCTGGGTTATGGGCTAGGTCCCCAGTTGGGGGGTACGTCAAGAGGCAACCACACACTGATGTTTCTCTCCCTCTTCCTCCCTCCCTTTCTCTAAAATAAACAAAATTTTAAAAACAAAAACCTTGCACTATTTTTATGCACTGACATTTTTAAACAAATAGAAAAGTGAAGGACATAAAGTTATATTGTTTTGCTTTCTTTAGCAGTGATTTCTACTTAAACGTTTTGGAATTATATAAGTATTTAACTGTTTTTCCTACTCTGATGTGTGTATATGATTAAAAAAAATTACTGAAAGAGAAATCACATACGCATAGCATATGTTCTACAAATACTTTAGATTCAAATGAAGGAATTGTGGGTGTTTAAAAATACCCATAATACAAAAGAAGTCTGAGCTCGTTATGAGTGCAGAATGTACTTTTATTACAGAGCCCAAACCTAATGATAAATCTAAACTAAAAATACATATATCATAAATCATGAATACCAAAATTCCTAAAATTAGTGATCTATCAGGCTATTACCAAAATAACTGGGAAGAACAAATAACTAAAAATCAGAAATTTCAAAGCATCTAGTCTTGGTCTGTGCTTTAAAGCACATAATGTTGATTTATGCTCCAGGATTTATTCTCTTTCATTAAATTATAAATTATTTCATTAGAATTTAAGTTTGATGCTTAAAAACCCCATGAACTTAGATGAATTTGTGCATTTTCTGTCTTCTAAGTTTCCCATCTTCTTATTTTTATAATAGAAAGACAAATAAAGTTAATGAGGTGCCTTGTAAATCTTACCCCTCTCAGCATGTTAAAGCCCATCAGTTTTCCTGAAACATAGTAAATTAAGAGAATATAAGAGGGAAATCAAGTAGTGTTGCTTTTAATTCCCCAGTTCAGCTTGCATAAATAACAACTCCAAATGGAAAAAAAAAATCAAATTGGGTATTCAATGACATCTACATAGCTTCTTACAACTACTTAAGTAAAAAGGACAAATGGAAATTTTCATTAAAAAATTCCGGTGAACATATCTGTCAAAATTTCCACAGTGAACAACTTTAAATTTAATCCTAGCCACCATCCCAGTTTAGAATGTAGGGTATGTATACCTAGGGTGTGGAAGGCCCCATCATGGTCCATGATTTATTGCAGAACTTAAACCATAAATCCTACAGGAATTTTTCTTATAGACTAATAGCTGAAGCAACACTGCAGATTTCTCTTGTTACAATGATAGCAAAAGTAGCTATAACTACTTTTAGTAAAGAAATGCAATTCGATGGCACAGTCATGCACACACATTAAAAAATGCATGCGATAGAGTGCGAACAAAAGCTGCACAAAAGCTCATACAGAGTGAGAAGCACCAATATGTTCAAGAAACATGCTTTAATTTACCCTTTCTTCTTGTGACGGTACAGGAAGTAGCTGCCAATGACTGCAAGGACAGCAGCTACAATAAACCAAAGAACAGGTGAAATGTAACTGATAACTAATTACCAATATTAAAAACCTAGCAGAAGAAATTAACGTTGGTTACAGTTCAGTGGGCAGAAAATGCTATTTTATTTAAGCACATATACATTTATATTCCATCTGGACTCTTCACCATCTAAATCTAATTCCCTGGAATCACTTAAACAGTCCACAGTAAGCCAGAGAAGAGTCCTCGCTTAATACAGAAAATTATCCAAAACATATTTGGGATGCAAACAGATATGACTAATCATCTTGAAAAGACATCTGTTATTTAGGACTTGTTACTAAGCAAACATATAGAATTTCCGTGAATATATAATCACCAACACAAGGTAGTACGTCAGATAAGAGGAGAGGTGTTCCTAGATTGGTTAACTTTATTTCAAGCTATAAAAACTGTAGAAACTGAAAAATCCATTGAATAAATAGTGCTTTTCTTCACATTATTATTTTGATTTAAGTGGCATCCAAATTTGGGACACTTACCCACAGAAAAGACAATTGCAGCAATTACTCCTCCACCTGAGGGGGAAAAAAAACCAGCTTGAAGATAACTGAGCACATGTGAGTCTCCAGACAGCAATTACATTTTAGTTAATCAGATCATCTATAGACTACATCAGAGAAAAAAGTTATTAATCTAGTTTAGTGTCACTGGTAGGGCATGCAGCTCATTTTGGTCACAGAACCCTCGTAATTGACTCCAGGCTTAGGGTCCAACATTGTTTCATGCTGTGGCCACCACACCAGGTTCCTGAGTAAAGGGTACTACTAGAACAATCAGAATTCACTGGGTTAGTGGAAAATTGTTTTAAAAATGTGTTATCCCATTAGAGTTGATTTAGTTCTGTATTCAGTCTATCACTTCTTATGATTTTTATTACAAAATTAATTTATAAGCATCTACCAACAGTGGATCTGTGCAATAAGTCATAATGAACTTCCATTAATTACACAAGTGTAATTATCAGAATCTGCACAAACAATATGCTATAATCAATCTTCCCTCATGCACCTCTACCCCCAATTTAAGACATACCAAGGAGATTCTAAAAATGCAAAAGAAACACTCAGGCACAAGGACAAAAATTTTGCTCAGAAACTTAAACACGCATTTTTTGACTACCCAGAGTAATAACACTACAGAATCTTAATCCTCACAAATGCTGGTCAGTAGCACCTCTGCTTTTAAATTGGCATTATTTTTATTAAGTTTCTGTATGTCAAAGCATACAATGTCATGTTTACCTCTGCTCTTTTCGTTTCATAAAAATTATCAAGTGTTTAGTGTCTTAGGATGGCCCTGGCACTGGCACAATGATGGATGATGGTTTGGCCACAGTATTCAGAGGGGAGACGTGACAAGCCTAAGGTGCCTTTTATGAAAAGATAACCCTTGTTAAACCAGTCTAACGTAAGAAAGGTAATACACATTTCTCTTCGTTTACTTACCAAGTAGTCTTTATATTTCATTTAAATGACACAACTATACTTTATAATTTTCTTGAATACATATGCTGTGAACCGTGAGCCTACACAAAGTGTGCTATACCAGCCCATTCTGAAAAAACATTAAACCAACATATAATACTTTAAGGCTTGGGTGTACAAGGTATGACCAGAAAGAAAACTTATCTACCAACTGCCATCACAATGACATTCTCACATAGAAAGCAAGTTATAGTCTATAAATTTTAACCTACATAGAAACACAGCAATTGAGAAAGTTACCTCGCCCTACTAGAAATTCTAATTTGAGGAACCCCTTGAAAACTGTATTATCTACATGTGTCTACACATACTTCTGCTTACATTTGTCATAGTATCTGTACTATTAAAATGAGTACATGCCCTGGCTGGTGTCGCTCAGTGGATTGAGCGTGGGCCTGTGAACCAGACAATCACAGTTCGATTCCCAGTCAGGGCACATGCCTGGGTTGCAGGCCAGTTCCCAGCAGGGGACGCTCGAGAGGCAACCATACATTGATACTTCTCCCCCTCTCTCTTTCCCTTCCCCTCTGAAGATAAATAAATACAAAATCTTTTAAAAAGTCCTTTAAAAAAAGAGTACAAATGTCAATTATCACTCACTTGTGACAGGTGGTTTCTTCTCTAACTACAGATAATCAAAATGTGATTATTTCAAACTTCAAGGTCAAATAATGCAGAGTGTTAAAAATCAAAATAATACCTAAAGAACCAGTTGGTGGGCTGGGTGATGCTGGAGGTGAAGTTCCTAGAAGAAAAGAAATTGAAATAAGTAAAAAAGAAAAATGATAATAATAAAGACTAAAGACCTCTAAATTATAGGTTTAGAATTTTTGCCTTTAAAGGAAAACTCTTATAATTTTACTTTCCTTATATAAATTGTATTAATGTTTCTAATTTAGAGGTAGTATCAAAAATATTATACATTTATATTCAGTGCCATCAGAATACTTTTTCCTGTCTAGTAATTCTTCCTATAATAATGTTCTGTGTGGTACAGCAATCAAATTTATCTACTGAATAAAGCTAGGACTATTGTTAAAATTAGCCCTGGACTGATGTGATACTATGTAAGACGAAAAAATATAGGAAGGCTTAAAAAGATTTAGAAGTTGATCTGCAGTAGAAGGATACTTCCACATAATAAAGGCCATTTATGAAACACCAACAGCTGCCCTGGCTGGTATGGCTCAGTGGAGTAAGTGCTGGTCTGCTAAATGAAAGGTCGAGACTCCATTCCCAGTGAAGGCACATGCCTGGGGTGAGGGCCAGGTCCCCCAGTTGGGGGCGTGTGAGAGGCAACCAATGAATGCACCTCTTGCACATCGATGTTTCCCTCTCTTTCTCCCTCCCTTTCCCTCTCTCTTAAGTAAACAAATCCATAGCTAACATCATACTCAATGGTGAATGACAAAGTTGTTGCCTTAAGATCAAAAACAAGATGGGATGCTTGCATTTCCTACTTCTGCTGAACAGCATACTGGAAGTTTTAGTCAGAGCAATAAAGCAAGAAAAAGAAATCAAGAACATCCAAATTGGGAAGGAAAAATTAAAATGATTTCTACTGAAGATGACATAATCTTTTATATGCAAAACTCTATAAAGATTACATACACAAACAAACATGTGCCCACACAAACACAAACCTGTCAGAATAAATTCAGTAAACTTTCAGGCTACATAATCTACCCTCCCAAATCAGTTGCACTTCTATACACTAAAAATAAACAATCCAAAAGGAAATCGTGAAAGTGACTCCATTTACAATAGCATAAATACTAAAATACTTAGGAATAAACAACCAAGAGGTGAAAGACTCCTACAACTGAAAACTACAAAATATTGCTGAAAGAAATAGAAGTCAACATAAACAGAAAGACTGAAAGACTTAATATTGTTAAGATGTTAATACTACACAAAGTAATCTTGAGGTTACATGCAATCCCTGTCCCATCTTGAAAATTCATATTTCATAAACAGAAAAATCCAACCTATCATTCATGAAATGCAAGGGTCTAAAGACTATCCAACACCATCTTGAAAAACAGCATTGCCACGAGGACTCATACTGCTTGATTTTAAAACTTACTAAGAAGCTACAGTAATCGAAACAGCAGTACCAGCATAAAGACAGACACGAAGACCAAGTGAACAGACAGCCCAGAAATAAACCCTCACATACACAATCAAATGCCCACAAGGGTGCTAAGAATACTTAATGGGGAAAGGACAGTCTTTTCAACAATTTGGTTCATGGAAAACTGGAGATCTACATACAAAAGAATGAACTTGGTCTCCTGCCTTTTACCATACACAAAAATTACTTCAAAATGGATCAAAGAACTAAACATAAGAGCTAAAACTGTAAAAGTCTTAGAAGAAAACATAGAGGACAAGGTTCATGATGCTGGATTTGGCAATGATTTCTTAGATGTGACACTAAAAACACAGGCAATGAGGGAAAGAAACAGATATATTGGACTTCTCAAAATTATAAATATTTGTTTATCAAAAGAGTGAAAAGGCAATCCAAGAAGGGGAGGACACTTCTATAAATCATATACCTGACAAGGGATTAACACCCCAAATACAGAACAGAAAATAACAAGTGTTGGTGAGCAGGTGGAGAAATTGGAAGCTTGGTGTATTGCCAAGGGGAATGTAAACTTTGTAATAAAAACTGGCATTTCAAAACACTTGGACGGACAACTTATCCAAGAAATGGAGGTGGGTGAAGAATTAAAAAGGAACCCCGTCTCAGTCGACACACCATAAGAATTTCAAATGAAATTAAACTCCAAGAACATATTCAGGATGTATGGTTGGAATGTTCATGGAATTTCAGCATGGGGAAGACCTAAACCTTTTGTAAGAAAGACAGCACTCATAGCCATTGAGAAAAGGTCAATATATCTAACTACCTATTAATGTAAACTTCTACACATATACATGACCACTGACAGACTAAAAGTCACAGTTTTAGACATATATGAACAGCACAATGCCATTGTTGTTTAAGAAGAAAAGAAAAGGTGCCAAAATACGTGTGTCTACACATACTGGATATTGATGTAAAGAAACAAAGACACCTAAACTATTAAGTGATTAACTCAGGTAATGGCCTAGAGAAAGACAGTATCTTTTACTCTATATGTTTTATTAATTTTGAAATTTTACAAGTTTATATTCATATACTAGTTATGCAATTAAACGTTATAAAAGTCAATCTATACTTAATAGTATAAAACCCTTAAAAGAAAACTGACTAGTAAAAACAAGGCAAAACAAAAAACAAAAAATAACCCTAGAAAAAATGTTTACTTCAGATTAAAAGGGCTGCAATTTACAAGTTTTGACATATCAACACAAGTTACTTAGAAGCCTAATAGACCAATGAACAAAGGACATGAGTAAATAATGTAAACCAAAAACTCATCTTCACTGATAATTAAAGGAATGCAAATTAATAAATGACATCATTTTCTACCCCAGCAGGTTATAAACTTCTTAACGAGATAAGTAAATAAGGAGTTTTTGAACCTGGATGACTTGTGCCTGAAGGCTTGGTTGAAGTAACAGGACCTGGAAAAATCAATTTGATTTCATTCACCAGCCATATTGCAGTATTATGGATTTAATTTTGATTTTTGATTCGCTTAAAGGAAGGTTAATTAGTCATTAAAATGAAAAAATATACATTCATTCTGAACTTTGTAATTCTACTTCTGGGAATTTAACCTACATATATATTCATAAAAATACATAAGATGTATACATAAGGTTCACTGTGTATTTTACAATGGAAACCATAGGAGTTAATTAATAATAAATCACAAATCAAGTGTTCAGAATGAACATATGTCTCAAAAAATAATAATCAAGTATTATTATACTAAAGTACTTAACTTCTATACTTTTCTTTTCCCTTAGTATTTCTTGGATATTTTTTCATATTAGCAGAATTAGAGCTACCTTATCATTATTATATGTTGTTAGTAATCCTTTCTTTAACTGATAATAAAAAATAATTTACAGGACCAGGAAGAATTTCAATTTTTCATATTTAAAAAAAACCTGTAGTTACAACTTTCCTCACAATCAATGTTTTATAAATCCTTTATAAATTCTTATAGTCCACTCTTTCAAAAGCGCACATCAACAAACATAAGTCTAGCTCCGGTTGGTGTGGCTTAGTGGATTGAGTCCCAGGCTAGGAACCACAGGGTCACTAGTTCAATTCCCAGTCAGGGCACATGACTGGGTTGGGGATAGGTCCCCAATAGTGGGTGTGCAAGAGACAACCACAAACTGATGTTTCTCTCCCTAAAACAAACATAGTCCATCACAGTGCATATACCCACTAGGACCATTTGAGTAAACATGGAATGGTCCATGTGTATAAAATTCACATGCAATCTTAATATATCCACCAGGAAAACAGTTTTCCCTTCGCTCCCAAACTTCACAGCACTCAACTAAGATACTCATGGAGACTACCAGGTATAAAAAGGTGTTTCAATTACCACCTTAACATGCATAACCCCCCTCAATGCCTTAAAGTATTAAAACAACAGAAAATATACAAGCAAATTAGAAGCCAATGATTGAGATCTGAGTTCAAACGCCCTCATTAAACAGCAGGAAATGAAAGCCCACAGAAATAATGTTCCATGAATGAGCAAAAACAAACTAGGGCCCCAAGTGACATCAGCCCAGGCTAATGCTCTTCCCACTATTCCTCATCTCACTCATTTCTGCTGAAATCAAAGCCAGAGATCGCAGCACCGAAATCAGGAAGACAGTTCCTTCCATCACATTGAAATAATCTCTCAGTCTCAAGCAGAGCAGCTGATCAGAAGTCCATGCAAGAAACACTCCATTTCATTCAATAAATAAGGTCTTTTCCTGCCCATTAGTTGGTATGAAATTTAGTTTCTATTCTAAGGTATAAAAATGCCCAGTAAAGACAAAAAGAATACTTGTATGAGCTGTGGCAGGGGCTGAATAGTAGAAATACCGGTCTTGTTCAAGACACAGCAGAAATTTCCCAGTTTAAATGATTTTATTTATATATATATATACATATATATATGTGTGTATATATATAAATGTTTATATATATATACAATAAAAATAAAACTGCTTACACTCCACAAAATAAAGTACAGTCCTAGATCTTTTAAAATGAATAAAATAGTAAAGTTGATGACAGAAAATATATTGAAAAACAGAAGTCATGGACCTTCTTGTTTACTAATCTAATTAGTGATACTATAAGTCACATGAGCTTCCTTTAAGAACTTCTCATATTCCAGGCACTGTGCTAACTGCTTTTAATGCATCCCACCTAAAGGGCACTACCATCCAGTAAGGAAAATATTAAATAATTTTCATATTATTTAATGTAAAATTACTATTATGAAATTTTAATATGAAGCTTAAATTCATATTATTTAATTCACATTTAAAGTTTACATAATTTGCCAAGTTAACATAGCTGTTTATATCTGAGGACTATGGCAAATAATTTTAGAATCACTAAGTATAACAACTGGAATGGCTCTGAATATGTTCTTCCGTCTTTCACTACTAAAAATGATGAATGAGTGTAAATTCTCAGATATTTCAAAGATTTTTAAATATATAAGCAGAAGTTACTAAACCTGAGACAGTGGCAACTGGAGGTGTTGTGCTGGGGGGCGTTGGCACTGGAAAAAAAAATAATGTCACCTGGATTAACCCCTCAGGAATTATTGTTCTTTCACTGATATAAATTCATGACTTATTTAGATGAAAATACTCATGCTTCAATTTTATTAAAAATGGTTGCTACCCAATGTTATACATAAAAAAAGCTGAAGAAAAATTTATATACCTGTGTGAAATACTAACATGCTAGCCCTATGAAAATATACAAAATAATAAAAGCAGAATTCTTTGTGAATTTTACATGTCAAAACATAATTAAATATGAAAACTGCTTCATTTCAATTACTCTGTACCATTTATATTTAATACCAAAGAAAATCTAAACAAAAAGAAAAAAGAAAGGCATTCTGTACCTTTAATACACTGTGGCAGCTGTGGTTCCCAATTATTGTTAGCTCCGCAGACAACTGTCTTGCTGCCTTGAAGGTCAAAGCCCTCCTTGCATCCCAGTTGAACTGTGTCTTGGTAGTAAAATTGTGTTTTATGTCCTGAAAGCAGTACTCCATCTTTCGGGATTGGAGACTCACATTTGACTACTGCAAAGTGAAGAAATATCAGAATTAATGGAAAACTGGTTAAATATAGGATGTTCATTATGGACATTGTTTTTAATGTTCTTGAAATGTTACTGTCTGGTTTTAGTACCAGGGCAATGCAATCCTCATGAAGTGTGGTAAGATGAGTCCTTCCACCCCCTTTTGTATTTTCCTGAAGAGTGTGTGTAGATCTGCTAATACTTATTCTTGAAATGTTTGATAGATTCCCAGGTAGAACAGTCTTTTTATGAGAAGGTTTAAGTTGTCAAATTTCTAGGCACAGAGTTGTGTTATTCTCTTTTATCCTTTAAATATCTGTTGGATATATTCTATGATGTCACTGTTTTAATTCTTGATATTAATAATTTGTGTTTCCTTTTTTTCTTGTCAGACTGGTTATATGTTAAAAGATTTTATTGTTCTTCTCTAAGAACTATGTGTTAGGTTCATCAATTCACTCTACTTTTTTTCTCTTTTCAGTTTCATTGATGTCTATCTGTATTCATTCCTTTTGTTTCCTTGTACAGAGTACAATTTGCTCTTCTCTGTTTAGGCTAATAAGGTAGAAAGTTAGATTACTGATGAAACATTTCCCCTTTTCTGATACAGGTATTTCATGTTATTAATATCTTATTAAGCGCTGCTTTTGCTGTATTCCCAATATTTTGATATATTGATATGTTATATTTTTATTTTCATTCAATTCAAAACACTTTCTAATTCTGCTTGTAAACTCTTGTTTTATTGGTTAGAAGTGTCTTGTGTAATTTTCATATATTTGGGGATTTTATAGATATCTTTATTTTGATTTCTACATTCATTCCATTGTGATCAGATAATGTAAATGATTTCAATATTTTGAAATTTTTAAACATTATCTTAATGCCTAGAATATGTAATTAGAGAATGTTCCCTTTGCACTTGACAAGAGTAATTATTTTGGTATTATTCAGTGGTTCCTTTCTTTCAAGAGTCAAACACCCTCCAGTGCCTCCCTGCTTTAAGTCACGCTCTAATGCATTAAACATTGTTTTTAAAGTACAGGCATATGTCAAAGATATAGCGGGTTTGGTATCAAACCATGGCAATAAAACAAGTATCCTAATAAATCAAGGCATAATGTTTTTGCTGGTGAGGATCTTGCCTTCAATTTTTAATAGGCACTCCCTGGTTGGTGTAGCTCAGTGGATTGAGTGCGGGCCTGCGAACCAAACAACTGCAGTTCAATTCCCAGTCAGGGCACATGCCTGGGTTGCAGGCCAATTCCCAGCAGAAGATGCATGAGAGGCAACCATACATTAATGTTTCTCTCCCTCTCTCCTTCCCTTCCCCTCTAAAAATAAATAAATAAAATCTTAAAAAAAAACATTTAAAAAGCACAAAATCTGTGAAACACAATGAAGCCAAGTGCAATTAAACAAGGTATGCCTATATGTTTCATCCAGAGTTTATCAATCTTATTGGCGAGATGAGTCTTTTATAATTTAATCTTCCATTTTCTATAGCCAGAACTCTTAGACATACTGTAATACAAAATAAATCTTTGTTATTTTTAAGCCAATGTATGTTGAGTTTTTGATACTTTGAAGCAAAAAAAAAATTTTTTAAAAATCCCAACTCATGCACCTACACGGTAATTCACGATGTATCAATTGGAATGTCAAGAATGTGTGGTGAAGGCTGAGGAACTTCACTTCTTAAAAATTAATTTAGAAACCAACAACAGGTGAGCAAGCACACAAGGACTGTTTTGTTTACTTGTCAGTAAAGTATTTACAAAATATTTCCATACTATTTACAAGTGAAGAAATAAATAAAAATATTCTTACCTTTGCACATAGGAGGGTCACTACTCCATACATTATGCCCAGAACAAATAAGCTTGCTCTCTCCAATCAGTGAGTATTTATGTGGTCCACTTGAAGGATTACAACTATAAATTACTACTTCATTATATTCATATTTTTCCTTATGGCTACTGGTGACACCATTTTCTATTTGTTCAGGTGGCTGACACAAAATCTCTTAAAAAGAGGAAAAAAAAGAGGACAGGAAAGGCAAAAGAAAAAATAAAAGATTAAGACACCGTTAGTAACATCCACCGAAATGCCTTCAATAAATTCACTAACATATTGTTTCTATAATCTAACTGTAAATCCAGTATCCATTTAGAAGAAAGTTTCTTTGAAAAAATGTATTATCTTTTTTCATTTTCATCCATAAGAGTATGTGGTGAAATATGCCAAAGGTACAAATGGCGTGTTAATGCAGCAACCAAAATCCTGAAGTCTTCCTTCAAAACGCCAGCTATTAAGAGATTTGCAAACATGTAAAGCAATGCCACTATTCTCACTATTTGGAAAATTGTGGTTTTTCATAAAAACATATATTGCATATATGAACATATACTGTGCTCACTGTTCTTAACAATGAATTAATAGGTATTATTTTTAAAACTTTTTAGTTTTAATTTCAATGTAATGAATAGCAATAGCCATATCACACCTGAAGAGAGTTAGGTGGGGCCTTTTTAATTTAAAAGCATAAGGTCGAGCCAAGGCCAAGAGCTTGAGAATGTCCGCTCTGAGCTCTAAATACAGAATGTACTTACTCTCACAGTGCGGGGGATCAGCATTCCAGCCCACATTGTCTCCAATGAGCTCGCAATATAGAGTTGCTTCTCCAACTAAGTAATAACTGGATGAGAAAAAAAAGATTAGTTTTGTTTTGTTTTTTTACCGGTTGATATGATGCACATAACAATGAAGAAAATTTTATATGGTAGTTCTTCTACAATTCAGTAATTTGAGGGAGAAGTTTCTTAAACACCTATAACGAAAGTACTAACTAAATCTACAATTTAATAAAGCATTTCTACCTTTGAGCACACTCTGACCTAGAGCGGATTATCTCCATGTGTATCTGTCAATCTGGCCTCTTTTGCTTTCTCCAGCAGACTCATCAATGTTCACGTCTGGGACCTAGTTCACACCATTCTGCCTACTCAGGACAGCGACTGTGTACACAGGTCAGGCCCTAGAGCTTTCCTGCCTGGATTTGAGTCCCGACTCCACAACTGACTTATTGTTTGAGTTGGGCAATGGTTAATGGTTCTCTTTCTCGGCTGCCTCATCTATGAAAAGAGGATAATAGTATAAAGCTCGTGGGATTGTTGTGAGTAGGACATGAGTTAGCATGGGTAATAACATGGTGAGTGCTGCGTAAGTTTTAAATCTTAGGAATATTCTTCAGATCAGAGTATCTTCCCAGAAGCTCAGGAAGACCCCCTACTTGATGAAATCTCTAATGATTTAAATTCACAGTATTTTCCTCTGGACTGTCATTGTAAAGATCACAAACACACCTATTTCTTTGGTAGTTCTAATTTACATTTGCTTTGACATCTGTCTATTTATATTGTGCTTCTCAAAAAAAAACAAAAACTTCTTTGAAAAGAGCCTATGTCTTAATCTTTTGGTACCTCTCAAAGTGCCCACCAGTTTCTAACTTTAAACTAGATATTTTTACTTAAGTAAACAGATAGTCAGTGAAACAGCTGATAGCTGTTTCCAGCTGACTATTCATTCGTTCAAGTCTCACTCACTGGTTCTGTTTTACAGTGTATTTGGGGATGATGGTAGGGTAGCAAGCAACAAGAATCTATCTTCTCATCTACACCACAATTACAGTGCTAGAATCTGCGTGATGTAGCTATTCTGGAACTCTGGAATCCCTAGAAAGCATGTTATTTCCTAAGGGAGGACTTGGACAGGGAAATTGCATTAACATTGGTCACTTTCAGTTCTTAGCACTCTGGTGGTCACCCATCCCACTTCAACAGCAGGCAGCTGTGTGTTCCTAGTGTAGCTTATAAGCAGTCTGCAGGAACCAGGGAGGAAAAAAGAACCCTATCCTCATAAATATCCAGAATCTCTGCTTTTATTACTGACTGCTGCTTCTGACACAGAAAAGCAAATAAAGAAGTGGGAAGTCAATATTATCATGTGTCCCCCACTATTGCAAGCCCATTCATTGCCTACTGAAGTGACTTCTGGAAATTTAAAGATCCAGCATCCTTGCTCCGCCATTCAATTTTCAATTTTTTCCTCTTTCAGGAGCCTGACATTAAAGCTAGGTCATGCAACCCTGACCAGTGTAGCTCTGTTTATTGGAGCATTGTCCAGTAAACCAAAGGGTTGTGGGTTAGATTCCCAGTCGGGGCACATATGAGAGGCGGCCAATGGGGTTTCTCTCTCACATCAATGATTCTCTGCATATCTGTCTCCCTCCTTTCCCCTCTCTAAAATCAGTAAGCATGTCCTTGGGTGAGGGTAAAAAACTAGGACATGGCATAAGTGACTAAACATGTCCAGGGGAAGGCTCAGAAAAGACCTTCAGTTTATGTATCAGACTGATCCTCAGACCCCGCAACAGTCAAAACACCAAAATGAACTGGAGAAAATAACAAGCCCTGAGAAGGAGAAATTGATTTCCAGAGTTACTTCATTATTAGATTCAAGTGTGCACTTCAAGAAAGAAAGAACAAGGCATACAAAGAAACAGGAGAGTGTGGTGCATTAAAGAAAAGAAATTAATATAAATCATCCCTGAAAAAAAATCTTATTACAGATCAAACAAAACAAAGACTTTAACTGTTTTACAGAAGTTTAAAGAACTAATGGAAGAAATACAGAAAGTTAAGAAAACAATGAATGTAAGCAATGTGAACTATCAATCAGGAGATGGAAAACCTAAAAATAAACCAAAATGCAATTTTGGAAAAGTACAGTAACTTAAATGAAAAATTCACTAGAGGAATTAAAGGCAGTTTTTAGCAGGCAGTAGAAGGAATCAGTGAAGTTGAATAAAGGACAATGTAAATTACTGTAAATAATTATAAATATTTACAATAAATAATCATTGTCAATTACTGAGAAAGACTGAAGAGAAGTGGACAGAGCCCAAGGGCCCCGCAGGACACCAATGCGCAGACCAACACAGGCACTGTGGGACTCCCAGAGAGAGACGACAGAAAGAAAGGGGCAAAGAGAATATCTGAAGAAATAACGGTTGGAAAGTCTGGCAAATTTGATAAAAGACATAAATATCCAAAAATCTCAACAGACTCTAAGTAAGATGAACTCAAGAGACCCACACTAAGAAACATAATGATCAAACTTTCAAAAGCCAGTGGCAGAATTTTAAAAGCTCTGAGACAGAAGTGAATCATCAGGTACAATTGATCCTAAATATAATTATCAGCAGATTTCTCTCATCAGAACCTTGGAGGCCACAGGACAGTGAACTTATAGACTCAATGTGAAAAAAAAAAACCACAAAACACTATCGACCACATACATCCTCAATCCAGCAAAACTGTACTCAAACATGAGGGAGATATTAAGATTTTTCCAGAAATAAAAGCTGAGGGAGTTGCTAACACTAGACCTAGTCTACCAAAAGCACAAGGAAGCCCAGAAAGGTAAAATGTAAAAAAGTAACCTAAGTCATGCGGATAAGCATTTCACTGCAGGTTCACACATGAGCAATTATTAAAGCTAGTATGATTGCAAGAAAGAAATGGTATCATATCCATAATTTTTACTTTCTATGGAGTTTAAGAAAGTAATCCTTCAAAAGAAAATAAATACACTAGTGTGGAGGTTAGTATTACAGTTATGAGTGTAGAGGCTAGTATTACATTACCAACCAAAATGGTTGGGGACAGAGTTATGAAGGTGCAGTTTTTATAATATATTGAAGTTAAGTTGCTATAAATTCAAATTACAGTATTTTAACCATAGGATTTTAAATACGACCTACAATGATAACCACAAACAAAAGCCCTATAAAATGGACACTAAAGTGAATAAAAAGAAATTTTAGCATTTCAGTATAAAAATCAACTCAATAGAAAGGGAGGGATTAAAAAATTATGAGACATGTACAGACTGGTAGTATAATCACAGAAACCATCCTTCCTATAATTTTTTTTTAAATTTAAAATGAACATACGCTCCAATCCAAAGACAGGCATTGGCAGAATGAATAAAAACAAAGGACATAACTATGCGCTATCTACAAGAGACTCACTTGAGATACAAAGACACAAACAAGCTGAAAGCCAAAAAATGGAAAAGTTTATTTTGTGCACACAGTGACCATGCGAGAGCAGAAGTGGCTACACTAATTCATACAACATACACTTTAAATAAAAAAGGGTTAAAAGAACAAAGGACATTATATTTTAATAAGGGTTCAATAATGCAAGAAGATGTAACATTTATAAACATTTATGCACCTAATGACAGGTCTTCAAAATAGATGAAGCAAAAGCTGACAGAGCTGAAAGGAGAAATACACATTTGTACATAATACACATTTCTCCAATAATAGTTGAAGATTTCAATGCCTCACTCCTGAAAATGAGTGGAACAACCAGACAGAAGATGAGTAAGAAAATAGCGGACTTCAACAACATAATGAACTAGATCTCCCAGACACAGACAGAGCACTCCATCCAATAATAGAACATGCCAGGTTCAAATGAGACATTTTCCAGGACACACCATATTTTAGGCCACAAATTCATAACAGAAATTAACTTTATTAATAAATACATAGTTAATAAAAATTATACTTGGCTAAAAATATTAAATAATAAATAGGTTTTTAAAAAGATAGCATGCAAAGTATCTTCTGACCATATGGGATGAAATTAAAAATCAGTATCAAAAAGACCAAAAAATTCACAACATTGTGAAAACCAAACAGCACACTTTTAAACAAACATTGGATCAACGAAGAAGTCACCAGAGAAATTATAAATTACTTCCAGATGAGTGAAAATAAAAGCACGACATTCCCAAATGTATGAGAGACAGTGAAAACAGTGCCAAGGGGGGAATTTGTAGCCGTACAAGCTTATAATGAAAAATGAGATCTGAAATCAACAACCTAACCTCACAACTTGAGGAACTGGAAAAAGAAGAACTAAACTCAAATTTTGTACAAGGAAGGAATAAAGGTTAGAGCACAGAGAAAAACAAGAGAAAAACAATAGAGAAAATGTATGATACCAAAAGTTGGTTGTCTGAATCAACAAACTTTTAGCTAGATGGACTAATAAAAAGAAGAAACAAATTATTAAAATCAGAAATGGACCTGGGGACATTGATACCAATTATATATTGGCTCAGTTGGGTAGAACATATGTCAAGGTTGTGGGTTTGTTCCTGGTCAGGGCACACACAAGAATCAACTAACAAATGCATAAATAAGTGGAACAAATCGACGTTTTTCTTTCCTTCTCCCCCTTCCTCTCTCTCTCCATCAAAAAAAAAATCAATAAATATAATTTAAAAAATAATAAAACTTTAAAAAATACCCTCAAGATATAAAGTCACCTCCTGAGTCAACCTGGGGACACAGAGGTAATACTGATTATACAGAAATATAAAATATTATAAGAGTACTATAAATAATTTTATGCCAACAAATTAACTAACTAAGGTAAAAATGAAAAATTCCTGGGAACTCAAAACCAACCAACACTAAATCAGATAGATACAAAAAATCTAAGTGGACCTATAACTAGCAAAAAGACTGGGTCAGTAATCAAAAATCTCCAAATAGAGAAAACCCCTGGACCTGATGGTTCATGGTGAATATTTAAAGAACTAAATCCAATCTTTCTCAATTATTTTTTAAAAATTGAAGAGGATGAAAGTCTTTTGAACTCATTCTGTGAAACCAGCATTGTCATAATATCAACACTAGTCAAAGACACCACAAAGAACTACAGACACATATCCCTTCTGAACCTACATGTATCAATGAAATTCCTCAGTGAGAGATGACCAAACAGAATTGAGCAGCATGTTAAAAGTATTATTCACTACGACCAAGTAGGACTTATTCCTGGAGGGCATGGAGGACCCAACATAGGAAAATTAATTAACGTAATATGCTCTATCAGTAGAATAAAGGGTGAAAAAACACATGGTCATCTCCATGATATAATAATAGCACTTGACAAAATGTAATACTCTTGCATGTTAACCATAACCTATAAACTAGGAAAATAAGGAAACTTCCTCAAGATCATAAACACTATATAAGAAAAACCCAAGGCAAATATCATACTCAGTGGTAAAAAGCTGAAAGGTTTTCCTCTAAGATAAGGAACAATGCAAGGATGGCTGGTTTTACCACTTCTATTCAACATACTACTGGAAGTTCTAGCCAGAGCAACTAGGCAAAACAAACAAACCAAAGTCATCCAATCTGGTTAGGAAGAAGTAAAATTATCAGTTTGCAGATACTATGGTCTCATACATATAAAATTCTAAAGATTACCAACACATACACCCAACAAGTCCTGTTAAAATAAATGAATTTAGTAAATTAGCAGGACACAAAGTTAATATTAAAAAATCAGTTGTATTCTCAAAACAAAGAAACAAACAAAATATAACCAAAGACAATGAAATAGGGAACAGGCTGACAATGTCCAGAGGGGAGAGGGGAGGGAATTTCAAGGGAAAAGGGGAAGGGTTTACAGGAACAAGAATAAAAGACACATAGACAAAAACTAGGGGTGTGGAAATGGGAGGGGGCAGGGCTGGATGGGTGGGCTGGGCTGGGAGTAAAAGACAGAAAACTGTACTTGAACAACAATTAAAATAAAAAATAAAAAATAAATTAAAAATCAGTTGTATTTTATAATGTACTATATTTACTCTATAATGCACCTTTTCATAAATTTCCAATATCCCAAATATAACTATTAAAAGAACCCTATAATACAAAGGCTACTACTATTAAGTGCTCAGTACCTCTTTCTGAGACCTTCATTACCTTGTAGCAGTCTCAAAAATAAGGCTTTCTACTAAGGCAAGAGTGTCAAACTCATTTTAACTGGGGGCCACACCAGCCTCACAGTTGCCTCCAAATGGCCAAAATAACTTTAGGACTGTATAAATGTAACTACTCCTTAACCGTTAAGAAGTTGAAATTACATTTGGCCCTTTGAAGGCTGATGTACCTCCCAGTGAAAATGAGTTTGACACCCCTGTACTAAGGGACCTTAACTAATATATTGTGGTCCAAGCTAACCAGGTCAATTTTCATGTGGTAACATCTGACAGTTATTTCAATGTCAGATTGTTTTGGGCTGGCAATCCTACCTCCCATTTCTATAAGCCTTTCTACAACTCTAAGAGTTGGCCATTTTGTGGGTGCACCTTGGCCCTGGCTGCTGTGGCTCAGTCAGTTGGAGTGTGGTCCTGCAGATGGAAAGGTCGCAGGTTTGACCCCTGGTCAGGGGACATACCCAGGTTGTGAGAAGGCAACCAATTGATGGCCCCCACCCCCTAAAAAGCAATGAGAAAAATGTCCTCAAGTGAAGATAAAAATAAAAATTATAAAATAAATAAATAAAGAGGGTGCACTTCAGTGTCAAGGAAAAGCCATCCTCATTACTATATTTTTAATACTAACAATAGGCTTACTATTATAGATATCATTATACAATTGGGCTTTACTTCAATTGAAATTTCTTTCTCTTCATTATATGTATTTTAGTCTCCATAAAAAGCCTGAGAACTGATTAGCTCTAAGTACAACTTGTCAAAGAGAAAGCAAAATAAAGTCAACATTATGGGAATTCATAGAAAAGAAGCAAAGCAAAAAACAGAACTAGTAATATTTACCTATTTCCTCTACTTACCCCTCATTACAAGTATAGTGAGCCACTGAACCAAACTGAAAACTTCCACTGACTTGGCCATTTACAGGGTCTCCTGGTTGTGGACATGGTTTTCCTGAAAATTTTCAAAAAATTTTGAAATTCGTGGTTTCATATAAATTTCAAAACAGGTCTGAATCAAAACCAGAATTCTATATTGCTCTACTGAATTTGTGGGAATATTATTTTCTTTCTTTAACTATTAAAAGACCAAATTCAATATTCACATTTACCCAGACAATTAACTGGCAAGAAAGAGATTCCCTGGAAATTTTTTGAAGCCTAAAAAATACATTACTTTCTAAAATCAACTTTCACATGAGAATACCATTATAATAGTGGAATAATACATCCTAAATGTGAGAAAATCTCTAGTGCAATTAAAGAGTTTTGTGTACTTACTTCTACAAGCCTCCTGGAGAAGTCCCCATGAGTTGTTAGGATGACAAACAGCAGACGCAGGAAGAGGAGGGATAATACGTATGTATCCTGGGCGACACTGATATTCTACACTGTCCCCAGGAGAGTAAGTTTCTTTAGGAGAATCTTTGAGCATCATAGATTCATACCTCAGTGGAGCATCACAGGCATCTGGGGATAACAGAATGAGAATGTGAAAGTAAAGCATTTTCTTTCTTACCAGCCATGGATTATAGCCTGGCAGCAGGCATTGGACAGAATAAAGGGAAAGATCAGAGGACTTCCGCCAAGATGGAGGTGTAGGTGGACCCACCTTGCTTCCGTGCACAACCAAATCTAAGAACAACTATTTTTAACAACAATAAACACAACCAGACCACACAGAAAATCGACAATACGGAGTCCGAAAAAAAAGGACGAAATGCTCGGCTAAACGGGTAAGCCAGCAGCAAAGCTGGCTGACCAAAAAGATGCCTGACCTGGTGCAAGCAGCCGAAGGCGCGGATCTCGGGCTGGCTACAGGTGCACACAGGGAAGGGGCGCGGCTGGCTGTCTGCGGTAGGTCGCGCATTTGCGTGCAGATAAACCAGTGAAGAGGCGAGCATTGAGACCGAATGGCAGGGGACAGCAGGCTCACACAATTCTGTTTGGATAAACAGGCTGGGGCGAGTGGTGGGACTGGAGGGACTGGGCTAGCAGAGAGGACCGCCATCGCTTCCTCTCTGACCCTGCCCCCCCACACGGCATCACAAACCAGCAACCTGGGTGGCCCTGCCCTGGTAAACAACTAAGGCTTCGCCCCTCTTACTTACTTACGGGCGCAAACAGACCAAAAATGGCTCAAGAACAACTCAGAGCCCCAGAGCCGATAATTCTAAGCGATGAGGAAAGAGCCAAACTTTCAGATGCACAGTTCAAAACACTGGTTATCAGGACCCTCACAGAACTGGTTGATTTTAGTCACAAATTAGAGAAACATATGAAAGCTAAACTAATTGAAATGAATGGTAATGCAAAGGATACCAATAGTAATGGAAAGGAGTCTGGGACTCAAATCAATGGAGTGGACCAGAAGAAAGCAAACAATGGCCAAACAGAAAAGAATGAAGAAACAAGAATTCAAAAAAATGAGGAGAGGCTTAGGAACCTCCAGGACATCTTTAAACGTTCCAACATTCGAATTATAGGGGTACCAGAAGGGGAAGAGTCACGAGTGGAAACCTTATTTGAACAAATAATAAAAGAGAACTTCCCCATTCTGGCAGAGGAAATAGACTTCCAGGAAATCCCGGAAGCTCAAGAGTCCCAAAGAAGCTGGACCCAAGAAGAAACACACCGAGGCACATCATCATTACATTAGCCAAGATTAAAATGAAGGAGAGAATTCTAGAAGCAGCAAGAGATAAGAGGACAGTCACCTACAAAGGAGTTCCCATCAGACTATCAGCAAATTCCTCAGAAGAGACCTTACAGGCAAGAAGGGGCCGGAAAGAAGTATTCCAAGTCATGAAAACCAAAGACCTACAACCAAGATTGCTCTATCCAGCAAAGTTTTCATTTAGAATGGAAGGACAGATAAAGTGCTTCTCAGATAAGACCAAATTCAAGGAGTTCATCATCACCAAGCCCTTATTATATGAAATGTTAAAGGGATTTACCTAAGAAAAAAAAGATAAAAAAGTTGAACAGTGGAATGACAGCAAACTCACAGTTATCAACAACCACACCTAAAACAAAAGCAAATTAAGAGGACAGCTAGATTAGGAGTGAATCATAGAAATGAAGATCACGTGGAGGATTAGCAACAGGGGAGTGGGAGGAGGAGAAGGGGGGAGAAGGTACAGAAAATAAGTAGTATAGACGGTAGATAGAAAATAGAGTAGGGGGAGGGTAAGAATAGTAGGGGAAATACAGAATCTAAAGAATTTGAGACATGTGTTCATGAACTAAAGGGGGAAATGGTGGGGGAGGGGCATGCAGGGCGGAGGGGGGCAATAGAACAAATGTAATGGCATAATCAATAAAAAAGTTAAAATTAAAAAAAAAGAATAAAGGGAAAGATCATTGGCAAGATTTTAAGTGACTGTTCCGTGCTTTTACAGGATGATATACCACATCTGATTTAAGTAACATTCATTCCCCCCCTTTTTTTTAGCTTTTGGTTTCTTGGGGCATAAGATGAATATTCATTCCCCAGTAAATTAAAGAGACAGCAGCAATATTTTTGGTTTTAAAATATATTTATAGGTGTGCAACCTTCACCAGTTTTCTGAGTTCTTATCACACTCATTATTCACCTAAGAAGACTTCTGTAGTACATAGGCCTTGATCAGATTACTCTTCCACACTTTGAAACACAAACTGATGATGATGACTTGTCACTTCTGGCTCAGTCTCCTTTCAGGAGGCAAGTTTCAAGAGGTCAGGGATCAAGCATATACTTTATTTTCCTACTACACTCAGTACCCAATGGGTGCTCAAGAAATGCTATGGTAAGAGGTAATTATTATTTAAGCATTTTGGATTTTATAGATCAAAATAAATATGGACTAAACTACTTCAAAATATAAGACTTAATTTCATATTAGTGAAACATTTTATAAGTGCATAATTTCATTGCTTTGAATGACCTTATAGGGAAAAAAACTGCTTTCTTGACATTACTTTAAATTCACAACTGACCCTTGAAAGATGCCAGGGCTTGGGTTCACCGGCCCCCATGCAGTTGAAAATCTACATATAACTTTTGACTTCGACAAAACTTAAATAGAGTGTTCCCTCTGTATCCGTGGGGGATCGATTCCAGGACTCCCCATGGGCACAAAAATCCTTAGATGCTCAAGTATAGAAAGGTATGGAGTGGGAATAATGCATACAGTATGCCCTCCGCATTGTCAAATTTCCAACCTCAGATGGAAAATAGTGTTGGCTGTTTCCACCGATGTGAAACTCAGATACCAAAGAGACAACATATTTATAGAAAAAAATGTGTGTGTAAGTGAATGCAGACAGTTCAAATCCATGTTGTTCTAGGGTCAACAGTAATTTAATCTTCCTTCACTAATCAATGAATCATTCATGACCTCAGAAGTTGTCTGAGGTAGCTGTTTAGGCTGTGTATCCAATATATCCCTGCGGCAAAGCTATGATATTATATGCTTTTAGAATTTTTTACTTCTGATTTTTTTTGGGGGGGGGGTGAGGGCTATGTTTACTCCCTAGAATAGTACCATCTCTACTTTAGCAATTTGTTTTCCTTTAAATTATCTGTGGGCTTGAAAAACCTAACAGAAATGTTAGAACAATTATGTAAAATAATGTGATGGAGACACATATAGTCTTAAAGGGCTAAAAGAATGCCGAGGCCACTCCTCCAAGGTTAAGGACCTAAGGAGAAAAATCTGTTTTGATTCCTGAGAAATCTTTCCTTTCTTACTCCTTGGATTGATCATACTTCAAACTGAGAGACTAGTAAAGATAAACAAGTAAAATTTTACTCTTCTTTGAAGTCAAATTCTAAATTCTAAAATTCTCTATATACACATAGTCCATTATTTCATTTCCATCATGTCCTGAAATTCACCTATTGGCAAAAGTTTTCAACATTTTCAATATGCTGACCACAGTATCTAAATTCTCCTCAATCTACTGCTAAAAAAAAAAAAGCAAACCAAAAGCCTTAATAATTAAAAACCAAAAATTGTTTAAAAAGAGGATTAGTAGTTAAAAGCACTGTTTAAAAAGAGGTGTTTTACAACGTTACATTTACTTAATACCCTGAGCTAGATATTGTCATTTTCAATGTCGACAAAACATTTTCAATATGTCAACAAAAACAAACATGGCCTAGGAAAACAAACATGGCCTAGGATGCTATATAATTCCGTTCAGATACAAATGAATAACATCCTCCTAGAATTTCCTGGAATCAACAGGAAAATAAAAAATCAAGTAATAGCATGCCTGTGATTAAATTATACAAGTATTCTTTGTTTCATGCATTCAATCTTGAAAGCCAATATAGAGAGAATTCCTAAGAAGACTTCCGCATATATAGTCTCCACATAGAAAAGGAAAAAATCAGTATGATAGTTTAATCCATTCAACTAATTAGAAGTATTTCTTCCCACTAACATGCATCATGAAAGACATGCTTCCACCAATGTGCAGAGTGTAAATTTTGGTTTGGCAACCAGTTGATCTCAGGCTTTAAACACTGTAATAATTGAGCTAATACCACACTTTTTACTAAGCAAATTTCCTCCCTTGCTCAGAACACTGAATTTTCTTCCAGTGAGGAAGTTCAAACTAAACATTCCCAGATGCACACAGCACCTTGATTTAGTTTTTTTCTAGGTAGTTTAAATACAATTATTACCTGGCTATAATACTATATTTCAACAATAGATGACATTATGTAATATGATGGGCTGCCTTTAGAAAATTTTCCAATGTTCAAGGTGAGTTTTAGGAAAATGAAATAGTTTTCTGCTATTGGCCAAAAGAACTGTTCACCTTGTCTGCCTCTGCCAACATTGGGTAAGTACTTTCTACCTGCTTGCAAAAATTAAAATCACTTTCTCACATGAGTACACACACAGCCCTACCCAGATGGTGCCTTCAGAAAATCATGGTCTCTAACCAACCCGGAGCCCATTGAAACCTCACCATCCTGTTCCTTCTCCCACTGTCTATACAACTTTTTAAAGACTTTCTCTGCTTCTCAAAATGCAGACTCTGGCATCTATACCTGTCAATTTTATTTCTCACATCCTCATTTCTAGGTTTACAAAATCATTTAAATTACTTTGAAAGTCATTAAGTGGCTTTCTTGTTTTTCAATGAATCCTAACATTTAAAAAAATGTTTTATTGAATCCTAACATTTTTTTCCTCAGTAATTCCAGTCACTCCGTCTATAACATCTAGAGCTAATGATCATTCTATCTGTGCTCCTTTCTGTCTGAAAGGCTCTTTGGTTTCGAGGAGCACAACTGCCTTGGTTTGCAGCTTGTCCAATGGCTAGTCTTCCTTCTCTGCCTGATGGGATAATGGGATGTTCCTAATGGTCTTTTCGGGAACTCTTGTTATTCATTCTGCAGACGCCCTGGGTGGGTAGGTAGACTCCCGCAACCTTGTTACCCCTGAGAAGAGCTGCCTCACAAATCCCCC